AAAAGTTTGCTACTCTCTTAGCACAAGGAATGAATTGTAGAGCCAATCTTATTCAAATGAAAAAAAGTAGATCATCTGGATTTCTATCAGATTTTCGTGATACTTTATTTTTAAACAAAGCTGAATTGTTGTTAAGTCCATATGCTTATTATTATCAATTAGATTCTCGAGTATTAGATTTTGGTTATATTGGTCTTCAAGATATTAAAGCTATAATTCCAAAATCATCAACACTTTTGAAAGTTATTGTTCTTTCACAAGAGTTTCTCTTTATGATCGTGACAACAATTGGTTCAATTTTTGTGCTTAAAGTGACTGCTATTTTAATGAAATTCAATCAAGATACATGGCAAACATTTAACATTGGTCAAATTATTATGGGAATGTCCATTGTTAAGGAACCATTAAAGATAAAGGAGAGAATTGTTTTTGGATCGCTATTAATTGCTTGCATGGTCTATACAGGTTATGTCATTTCAGTTATCTTGGATCTTTCATTGCAATCTACACCGGAAATAACAAGTCTTAAAGAATTGGCCGCATCGTCTTTGACTCCAATGATCAATTCGCATTTATTAAAGGATCAAATAAAATACATTTCTATTAATTCTTATATTAAAGAATTGGGAAATAGGGCTATTCAAACTTATGATGGAAAAAGTTGCGTAAAGTATTTAATTGATTATCGGAATGTAACTTGTTTTTTGTCAGATGCTGAAACAGTTGTTCGTTATTATTTGCAAATTTATGGAAATGTGAATATAAAAGTTTTGTCTGAACCTGTGATACAGGCTCACATAATTTTACACTCTAGGAATTATAGTCCATATATTGTTCGCTTTCATCAAATTATCTTGAGAATCAATGAAGGTGGTTTACTAAAGAATTTCTTTGGCAATGAACCAAAAAATTTTCACATTGTCGATCCACCAGAATTAATAGAAAAAGAAAAAATAATGCTCATTTCGTTATATTTATTTTTTATTGGTTATACTCTTTCCATTATGATATTTGTGATGGAAATTTTTATTAATATTTTCGGTGATAGAATTATTGCTGTTTTTAAAAATTGTTTTCATGGCTAATTTATGAGCATAGGGAAAATTCGATTAGAATATTTTTACATAAAAAAAAAATTAATTGTAAATTTATCAAAGGAACAATTTGTGAATTTAGTCTATAACTTTCAGTTATCCTAATATGAATGTGGCATAAATGGAAAATTTTTATTTCTTGTACAAAAGTTATCCAGCTCTGCCGGTTGTCATGGTAACGTTCAAGATCAAAAAAGACAGTGAATTTGTGTATCTCTTTTACTCTTGAACGTTACCATGACAACAAGCAGGACTGGGTAACTTGTACAATAAGAAATAAAAATTAGTACTTTTTCCAATTATATGCCACATTCATATTAGAATTAATGAAAGTTAGATTAAATTTACAATTTTTTCTTTGAAAAATTCGAATTCGAGATTATTAAATTTCCGTTAATATACAAATCGTAAAAATTTTAAATTTAAACAAAATATGCAGAATAAATTTTGTAATTTTTTTAATTCCCTTTAATACTGAAAAAACGGAAAAAATAATGTGACGTTTTTCTATTCCAAAAATGTAATTAAAACTTAAAAACAAAAATAATTATTCATTTCATTTTAAATGGCTTCTTACAAGTATGGTGAAACATTCTGCTACTAAGTATATAAGAACAGTTCAAATCATTCATTTCAATGCTTTTCAATCGCATTTTAAAAATCAGCACAGTTTTAATTCCATTTTATACCATATTTCACATTTTGTGAAAAATTTGTTGTACCTTGTTGAAAATTCTTGTAATGAATCAAATATGGGATCTTGTATCGCGTATATAATTTTATACATAACTGGAATTAAATATAAGTAGTAATTATGTTGTGTCATTTTTGCATTATAAAGGATTTGTTTAATGCTTTCCAGTATTTATATATGTAAAATGTTTTGAACTACCTAACTTTCTTTGTGTCAATATTTTGTATGTATTACTATATGAAATGCACTGAATAAAAAATCTTTCATTTGTTGCGAAAAAAAATAATTGTATTTTTAAAACCACTTTCATTTTTTAATGTATTTTTCGTTTTACAATAAAACAATTTTGTTGCATAGTCAATTTTATTTCATAGTAAGGTATAATTTACTTACTTTAATTTTTTCTAGTTTCTAATGTTGACATTTTTTGTTTCCATGGAAATTTGAAAATCAATATAGCTAATAATGCGAAATTTATCATTTTAAAGTTCAAGGCTTATACATGTAGTAACTTCTTTGTCATTTTTTTTTTTTTTTTTTTTTTTTTTTGCTCCAACGTTAGGAAATTTAAAAGTATAAGAAAAAATATATGTTTCTTATTTTATGCTGAACTATTGAAATAAAAGATTATTAGAACTCAATAAAATAATATAATTAAATAATTTTTATTAACTTTTTAAAATCTTTTTTCTGGTATGCTGTTAATTTCGCTTTGACATTGATTATCGTTTTTATTATTTTTTTTAAAAATTGATAAAGCATGATATCCGCAGGATGCATGCGGAAGCCAAGGTATTTGTATGCAAATTTCCCAAAAATAAAAAAAAAATATATATATATAATATAATATAGTAAAATTTGATTTAATGGCTTTTTATAGGACAAGTAAAAGATATTAAGAAACATCTTTAACGTTTCGGAATCGGTACCGATTCCCTCATCAGAATTTATTTCATCTAAAAGATTAATTTTACAACTAGAACTATTTTAAGGTTATAAATTCAAAAAATGCAAAAAAAGGAGATGTACATACCAATTAATTCTGAGGAATTAAATTTTAATAATAGTTGTGAATCAAATAAAGGATCATTTCTGAAAAGAATATTGTCATAAAGAATTTTAATTATAATATATAATAATAATTATTATTGTTATTAATTATTATAATAATTATTATGATTATTACCTATTAATATTATAATAATAATTATCATTATGATTATTAACTATATTTATTATAATAATTATTATCAACAAATTTTGATAAAGTTGCAGAACGGTTAAAAAAAAGATTATCGAAAATTTTATAAACTAAAAATGATATAATTAATAATTACAACTTTTATTCAAATAAAATAATTTTTTTTTTAATTTTTGAGAGTTTACGTTAATTATGTATATATCTTCCTATATTACAAAAAGATATCGCCGCCGCCGCTGTTTCAAGAATTCTTGACCTTCAGGTTAGGTTAGGTTAGGTTAGGTTAGGTTAGGTTAGGTTAGGTAAGGTTAGATTAGTTTAGATCAGGTTAGATTATACCCTCAAAATTAGGTCAAATATCGCGGGTCAAAAGGTGAACATAACCTTAAAATTAGGTCAAATATCGCAGGTCAAGAGGCAAACATAACCTCAAAATTAGATAAAATATGAAGCTCCCCCACCCCCTCCCCTACAAGACCTACGACCCATAGTGGCCATAGGTCAAGAGGCAAACATAACCTCTAAATATGATGTTCGGGAGGTCGAGAGTCGAACATAATCTCAAAATCAGCCCAAATATCACAGATGAAGAGGGATAGGGGATAGAGCCCCCTAGTATATATATATATAAATATATGTGTGTATGTTTAAAAATTTTTCAAAAAGGACATCTTCTGTAAACAATTAGTTAACATTGAAGAATTATTTATAACTTCATTATTCATGAGTCTCATCACTAAATCGCTATTTTGTAACAAAAATAAATTTCCAACATTGTTTATAATATAAACTATATAGTTGTTCCGTTTCGACAACATTTGATTAGCCACACACGCGGTAAATGTGTGAAGGAAAAATATTCAAAAATAGTTTTCCCTGTTCATGAAATACAGCCCACCACTTTTTGTCACGAAATTATCGTGTATATATATATATATATAGTTGTGGAATAATTTGAAAATTCTTTCTATTTTCGTTTCTTATAGGTCCCCCCCCCTCTCTCTCTCTTAATTAAGATAAAAAGTAAATAATTTTTTTTTGGCTTTTTGTGAAAAACATTGAAAAGAAATTTTTTTCTTTTTTTTTCAATAAAGTTCAAAAATATAACATTACTAAATTACAAAGAAATTGATGTCATAAACTATTTTTATTACAAAAAAAGTGTATCGTCAATGACGGAAAATTTAACAGACCGAGAAATTAGAATTTATGGATTTTTAAAAATAGATACAAAATTTTTGTTTTACTGACAATATTTTTTTAATGTTTGAATTCAATTTTAGACTCATTTTATCTAGTAATGGATATTTATTTAAATAGATTTTTATTATAAATCTAGATTTTTTTTTTTGATAATTAATTAATTTATTAAAAAAAATACGTTTCTTTTTTTAAATTATTATTTTTCTATTTTTCGTTGAATGTAAAAAAAAATCTGCTCACATCAAGGAGGGGAATTATTATTATTACTATTTTTATAATTTTATTATTATATTATTATTATTATTATTGCTGCTACTGCTACTAATACTACTACAACTATTACTACCATTATTATTATTATTATTATTATTATTATTATTATTATTATTATTATTATTATTACAATCAAATGAATGGTTAATAATTGAATACTCAATAGTTAGCTACTTTATTCTGATTATAATATATTTTATTTGAAAAATATTAATTTAACATGATTTATAAATGATATATATATAATTCGTATTATAAATAAAAATTAAGATTTTTATATAATACTACTAATTAAAAAAAAAAAAAAAAGGAAAACGATAATTTTTCTTTAGACAAAAGAAAAAAATCGTTTAATTTTATTTTGAAAAATGTATATATATGAAAATTTATACATTTTTATTTTCTAAAAAAAAAAATTTTCTCAGTTTTTGGAATGAATTTTTTTTTTATCCTGTTGTTCTGTTATTTAAAAAAATTTTTTTTTTTTTTTGTTTCGTTATTCAGGCAATGTAAATAAATCAATTGACATTCTAGATTATAGAGAGAGTGTACATATTGTATATTCTTCAGTAATAAAAGGTAAAATAAATATAATTAAACATTAGATTAACATATTATATATATACATATAAAATTAAATACGCGCGGATTTTTTTTTTTTTTTTTGAGGGATGGGAGAAGGAAAGGTGAGGAAGAGGGTTGAAAAATTACTTTCCAAGAAGGATTTTACGAGTTGCTCCCATACTTTGTCCAGCTTGAGTTGCACCCTTATTGGAACCAGCTTGAAGACCAACAATTGTTTGTCCGGCTTTAAGTTGTTCCTCTGTAAAGTCACGTTTGCATTCTTCGGATGGTTTTGGTCCCAAATAAGGTCCTTTCCAGTCTGAGTGTCGATAGGTCTGAGAAAATTAATTGCAAAAAAATTTATTTTTTTTATTTCTCTTTTCTTAATTTATAGAGCAAATTTTTTTTATAAATAATTTCTCTTTTTTAATTTCTATTTATATAAGAAAAATACTTTGGAATTTTAGAAAATTATAATCATACTCTCTTAATCTGAATTAGTAAAAATGTTTATTAATTTGAATTAGTGACGCACTTTTTGCTTCTGAATTAGTAAAATTTGACTAATTCTAAAGCAAAAAGTGAGTCACTAATTCAAATTAATAAACATTTTTACTAATTCAGATTAAGAGAGTAAAACAAAAGTTTGGCAGTGTGCCGAGAATAAATTTTTTTGTAGAACAAATTTTTGTATGAAATAATTTTGATTTAATACGATTTTGCGAAGTGATTTTTTTGGTTAAAAAGTTAGCAAAAATTATTTAATGATTAAAAAATAAATAATTAATATGCAAACTGTACCTGACGACCCAAAGCGAATAAAGTTGTTGTGACTTGTGCTATGTCCTTTTTCTCCCACAAATCCACTGTTTGGAAAACATCAACATCATCGACTCCATATTCTTTCAAAGCTTTCTGGAATCTGTACAGCAAACAATTAATTTTTAAAATCACAAAAAAAATTTTAAAAAATAAAATCTTTAAAATGAATGATTTTTCATTTGCTTACAAATTGATGTTCTCCATCATTTTGAATTGTCCTCCAGTTGAATTGATTTTGGGCACTGATCCAGGTGAAATTTTGTTCATCAAATGACAAAGTAATTGTCCATCGCGAATAACATCCTCAAATGTTTCATTGACTGGGAATTTTTTTCCCATGATTGATTCAATCCATTCTTGGGCCTCCTTTTCCTGTTCTGGATTACGTTTGCCAGCAATCTGTGAAATAAACAAGTTTTCCATTATTAATCAGAATAAAGTCACCATTTCTTTTGGGTACAACACTATTCATTCTTCACTTCTTGTAACACTTGGGGGGGGGGAAACACTAAAATGTTTTGCACTTGATTCTTTAAATCAGATTGAAAATTAAATTCAGATTTAGATTTTTTAATTTAATTACTAATTTTTAATTTAGAATTTTTTTTTTGTTAATCACAAATGAAGAATTTTTGAAAATCCTGAAGTGTACCTTGGCACGGACTTGACGTTCGAGAGCCATGTTTTTTTTTGTTTTTTTGGGAGATTCTTTGCAGGATAGTCGAGGAGCACTGAAGTGCCGATGGCAATTGCCAACGGTTTTTATATCCCTCAAGACATACAACGTAACACTCTCGTTCAGCCCACGCCTCTCAGAAATTGTCCAAGTGGGTAAATGTAAACGACGCTTTGGATTTTCGATTCTAATATTAGAGGGGTTATTCATTTTGGTAAAGATGATGTTGAAGGGTGCCGCTCAATTTTCGGGACCTTGTGCTCCAATCGTCGTGTCTGACATCTCTTTTTTTCTCCTTCCTCTTCTTCTTCTTCTTCTTCATTTCCTAATAAGCGTCCAAGAAAAATTTTAGTTTCCTCAAAAATTTTACATCCAAATAAGGACAAAAAAATCCATTTTCGTAGATTTACATATAAAACTTTACAGATTATTTTTTTTTTTTTTGATCGCGAATTTTCAAAAATCAAAATCGCATTTTCAAAATCCTTAACGGAAAAAAGTTTACAAAAATTTTTTTTGTGATGAAAATTAAGATACTTTTAACATTCATAGAAAGCGATTAAGAATATATTAAAGGCCCTAACATAACCTCAAAACTAAAAAAAAAAATTCTAAAATTTCAATAACAATTTTAGAAGGTTATATACACTTTTTAGAAAAATTTGAACCCAACATATAATTAATTTTTTACTAATTTTTGATTTGCGTTGAATACCACTTTTCAGTTTTGAGGTTATGTTAAGGCCTCCATTTTCCTTAAGGGCAGATCAAAGTCGATGCGATTTTTCCATTGAAGCTCTATGTCTATGACATGTCCTTAAAAAATTTTTAATTTGACTATAAATTCGTTTGAAACTTCTTATAGTAAAAAAAAATTTGTTCCAGTCATTAAAAAATCAAATTTTATATTACATTTCCAAAATATAAAAATGGCTGATTCAAAATGGCGGACATTTTTTAAATTTAAAGTATTTGGTTTTTAATTTCTTATTTAGAAGTGTTTTTTGAGTCGCTAAAACTGAATTTGATGTAAAATTTAAAAAAAAAAAATTCAAAATAATTTTTAATAATATAAAATATAATTTTTTTTTAAGGAATTTATTTTTCCAGAAATCACAAAATTCTTTAAATATGACTCGTTTGCCAAAATAAATACTTTGTATACGTTTTGTATATAACTGTATTTTTACAATAGACTGACAGCTTTGTAAAAAAAAAAAAAATTTTTTTAAATAATTTTTACTATTTACTGTTTAGATTATCTTTTTTTTTTAATAAATATATTACTTTTTAGTATAAATAATTTTCTTATAAATATTTTGATATACAAAAACTTTAATTTTGCTTACTCATTTTTTTTAATCTTTGTATTATTATTATTATTATTATTATTATTATTATTATTATTATTATTATTGTTATTATTATTATTATTATTATTTTTGTCTTCAAATATGTTTTGACTCAGCAGAAATATGTTTATGCCAAAAACTATTAATTTTAGGATTTTTATGTACTTAGGAATATTAATATGTAAAGATGCAAAATTCAAGGAGTGTAAATTATTTACATTCTATAAAAATTATTTTTAAAAATTATTTTATACATTTAAAATTAAAACAACAATGTCAGATTGTTTGTATTATTTTATTTTTTTTATTATAAAATTAATAATTATAATTATTGATAATAATAATTATTATTGTTAATTAGTTAATTTCATTATTTATAATAGTAAGGCCATTAATTAATTAATGACTTAATTATATCACTTATTAATTAATGGTCTTTAGTATTACAAATAATTTAATTTAATTAACTAATTAACAATAATAACTATTATTATTAATAATTATAATAATAATAGTAATAATAATAATAATAATTGTTAATAACAAATTTCTATATTTATACTAATATTTATATTTGATAATATTTTCTATGCATTAGAGTGCGTAAATAAAATGTAAATAAAATAATAATTTTTTTTCAGATTTCAAGGAAAGCAATAACATTCTTAAAATATTTTCTTATTTCTTTGAAATATGTATGTATATATATATATATATATATATGGACCAGGTTATTATTGTGTGATCCAGTTTTTGATGGTACTATATAGGCACTTGAGCCATGCGGCTTTTAAGCAAACAGGTGCGTCTTCTTGCGTTGCGTGTTTTGGATTCGGGACATTAAAGAAAATGTTATATATATATATTTATGAATCTGACTGAGTAATGTCATTGGCACCATATTTTCCACTTTGGAATCAAAGAGGTCTTTTTAGGACGACCTTGTTAACCATGAAACACTTTCAGTGATAAATCACAAAAATTTATGTGCTTTATGACTCTAAAGTGAATTTTTCTTCTTGCAAAAAGAAGACAATTTAATATTAATTTCAATTAATCATTAAATTAATTTATATTAAAACTAATTTATAAATCAGTTCATATTACTTTTATCGATATATCGATAAGAATTCGATATATCAATACTATACTTCGATATATCGATAAAAAATTGAAGCATCAACAAAATACTTAGATATATCAGTATAATACTTCGATATATCGATACAATATTTCGATATATCGATACAATATTTCGATATATCGATACAATACTTCGATATATCAGTAAAAATTGATATAACGGTAAAAAAATCGATATATCGATAAAAATTTGATACATCAGTTTAATATTTCGATATATCGACAGAATACTTCGATATATTGATAAGAATTCGATATATCAATATAGTAGTTCGATATATCAATACAGTACTTTGATATATTGATATGAATTCGATATATTAATATAGTAGTTCGATATATTGATAAGAATTCGATATATCAATATAGTAGTTCGATATATCAATAATACTTAGATTTATCGATCTTTACCTAAAAAGAAACGATAATGATATGATATTTAAAGAGAAAATTATTCATCACATGAATAGGATGTGGGTCAGTTTATAAGTTCAAAATTCTAAAAATAAATGCAGGATATCCCCACTTTTTCATAAATATACATTGGAGGAACTTATAGTGAAGCATCGTTCTCGTTGAATTGTGCAACGTGTCGTCAATTTAACGATATGGGGAATATTTACCGAGGAAAATCGTAGGCTCCTGAGTCAGATTTAAAAATATCATGAGTCGATTTTACTCTCGCGATAGCATTCGTTAATATACTATATTCACATTCCATCTGTTGTTGCTCCAAAATTAGTAAATTTTTTTTTTTTTTCTATTAATATTTACTCTTAAGCAAATTTTTATTTTATCAAATAATAATGTGAATTTTTTATTTATTTATCTAACTGAAATATTCATTTAAAAGTTCTATTTAGGCGCGAATTTTCAAAAATTTTAATTAAAAATTTTTAGGAATTATTTTTGAAAATTTAAATTTTTTATTATTTACGAGACATAATTAATATAATATATGACAATTGTGTATAACGACTGTGTAAAATGTTTATTTTGACTTTGGAGCTTTTTAATCAATTTTAAGTTGTCGCTTGTTTCGAAAATTCGGCAATGAGCCCATTTAACATAATACGTGTCTTAGTTTTCTCACTTAAATTCCTCTCAACTATGACATTATTCTGGTTATCGTTTAATCCTTCGTTAGTATTTTCAGACTAGAGCATAACAACTGTAACAACTAAATGTTAAGTATATATGAAAAAAATTTGATGAAATTACAAAAATTTTATTTCATATTTATGTTCTCTAAAAGTGAAAAAAAAATTTGATTTTTTTCAATTAAGGGATATGCCTTCGGATATACGATTTGCGTTTGTCCGAAAAAGTTTTATAAAGAAAAAAGAAATTCGTGCATTAAATCAAAGATATTTTGATATTAATATATTAGAGTCAAAAAAACATTTATTTGAATTAAATGAAAAATTTCTTTGAAACAAAAATAATTTATTCTTTGAATCAAAAATAATTTGTTTGGAACAAATAAATTTTCTTTGTATCATATAAAAAGTTGTCAAAAAAAAATTGATTTCTTTGAATAAAAGAAATTTTTTTTATAGGGCACTTTTTAATCATTTAACCTACAATGGACCAATGAGGACAAAAATTTTTGAGACAAACTCTCGGGCATAGTAGGAAATTTATTCTAAAAAATTTACATTCAGATATTTTAATTATATACTTTTTTGTTATTCGAAAACCATATTTTCTATTTGAGGTTATGTAATTAGGTCATATTAGGTCCGCCATTTTGAATTTATTAAATCTGACCTGAAATTTGAATTCAGCGACCCCAAAAACCCTAAATGAACCATTTTTATGCAAATCTAGTCAATTTAAAAATTTTTGGACGCTATATTGGGTCCGCCATTTTGAATTTTTTAAATCTGACCTCAAATTTGGATTCAGCAACCCCAAAAACCCTAAATGAACCCTTTTTATGCAAATCTAGTCAATTTAAAAATTTTTTGGACGCCATATTGGGTCCGCCATTTTGAATTTTTAAAAACTGACCTCAAATTTGGATTCAGCGACCCCAAAAACCCCCGAGTACCGAATTTTAAACGAATCGGATTAATTTACAAATTTTTCGTCATATTGGGTCCGCCATTTTGAATTTTTTTAAATCTGACCTCAAATTTGGATTCAGCGACCCCAAAAACCCCCGAGTAGCGAATTTTAAAGGAATCGGATTAATTTAAAAATTTTCCGTCAGATTGGGTCCGCCATTTTGAATTTTTTTAAATCTGACCTGAAATTTGGGTTTAGCGACCCCAAAAACCCTAAATGAACCATTTTTATGCAAATCTGGTCAATTTAAAAATTTTTGGACGCCATATGGGTCCGCCATTTTGAATTTTTTAAATCTGACCTCAAATTTGGATTCAGCGACCCCAAAAACCCCCGAGTACCGAATTTTAAACGAATCGAATTAATTTACAAATTTTTCGTCATATTGGGTCGGCCATTTTGAATTTTTTTAAATCTGACCTCAAATTTGGATTCAGCGACCCCAAAAACCCTCGAGTACCGAATTTTAAAGGAATCGGATGAATTTAAAAATTTTCCGTCATATTGGGTCCGCCATTTTGAATTTTTTAAATCTGACCTGAAATTTGGATTCAGCGACCCCAAAAACCTTAGTATACCTATCAAGGGATTAAAAATAATAGAAATAAATGTTATAATTTATCAAATTTAATAGATTAATTAAAAATTTTTTTAAATTAAAATTTATTATAATTCAGAATTTTCTTTTTAAAATTTTATATAAATTCGTTATAAGACATAATTACAATTAAGATAATGAACAAAAAATAACTATAGGAACGTGGTAAGATACAATTATCCCCACTCGTTATTTGTCATAATTCTCGTCAACTACCGCACCCTGCTCTAGTGAAAATTTAGTGACTTTATAGTAAATTTTAATTTTAATTAGAATGTCATTAATTTTTCACTAGAGCAGGGTGCGGTAGTTGATCGAGAATACCAGGATAAGGAATGCGTACTTTTTCCATAATTGTAAAATAACCTTATAATAACCTGGCTTATTTTACAAATATATAATTTGAACTTGTTTAAATTTGAATTTATACGATTTATATATTAACGGAAATTTAATAATCTCCAATTTGAATTTTCAATAATTGTAAATTTAGCTTAACTTAAATTTGTCCTAATTTTTATTTTTTCTACCAAGTTTCACAGCCCTGTCGGTTGTCATGGTAATGTACAAGAATAAAAGAAACAGTGAATATCTTATCTTTCTCTTTTACTTTTGTACATTGCCCTGACAACCGGCAGGGCTGAGAAATTTGTACTAGAAATACAAAATTAGAACATTTTTCATTTACAAGACAATATGTAATTTACATGAAAACGCCCATCTCTGCAATACGTAACAATCTTATGCGTGACTTCCCAACACTGTGTACCAACGCACTCACACATTGAAAGAACAGCTGATAAACAAATAACCAATCATCTCTTCGTATGACGTAATCAGCTGATTGTTCTCGACCAATGAACGTCACAACAAATATTTTTACACACAAATCAAGTTCACCTACCTTTTTATTAATTTTTTTTTTGTTTTCTACATAAAAATTACTATTTATTTATTATTTTACAAATTAAAAAAGTAACTAAAAATCTTTAGTAATATCTATTTAAATATTACATTCGTTTATGAAATGAATACTGAAAATGTGATATAAAAATTTTTAAGTTGGTAGCAGTGTTTGTTAGTGAAGAATATATATATATATATATATATATACATGATCCACTACTTGGTGATGGTATCAGTGTAGTCAGTGTAGTTCACAATAGTCAAACGTGTCAATCGTGTATACATATATTTCGAATTCTCAAAAACCCGTGTATGCAGTTTCTTAACTTTAATAAAAAAACGTATAATTTCGCAAAAAAGTTTTTATTATCAATGTGTAAATTGTGTTTATATGTGTGTGTGTGAATTTTCATTGAAAAATGCCGTTTTATAAAGAAAGACTCCTGTCGTCAGGACAATTAAAACGGCTTAGTGAACACAAATACAGTTATACAAGTGCAAGTATTCTTGATGCATTTCTTCAACCCTGGTGGGAATGGCTTGTCAGAAGAGTACCAATTTGGCTTGCACCTAATCTTATCACAACTATTGGCCTTATGGTCAATATTTTCACGACCCTTGTTTTAGTTTATTACAGTCCCGATGCGAAGATCGAGGTAACATAACCTTCAAATTATCAATTACAATATTTCTCAATTACATGTATTTTTTCTTTTAGTAGTATAAATTTAAAAATAACTAATAATTCATTTATTTGAATAAAAAAAAAATATTTTTATAATTGAATTTTGATTTTTTTTTAAATAAAGTAGATCATGATAAAAAGTGTAAATATTTATCATTGTAAACAATATCACAGGTGTTTCCATATTTTTTTTTTCTCACGCATGGAAGATTTTAAAAGTTTTACTGTAATTTTTATATTATAGTTGACACGTTGCAAAGAATTGTATTATTTTGAATTTTTTTTTTTTTTTTTTTTCTAAAATATTGCTAAGGTCAATTAGATCGTTGCGCACGCAATAGTTTTTATTTATTTTATAAAACTTGCACAATATTTTTTTTTATATTACCCTTTTTTTATGCCTATATCGATTTTATTTTTAGTTTTTAAAATATTTTAATTCTTACATCATATGAGAAAATCTAATTATTGATTGAAAATTAATTTTTGTTTATTTATTTAATTTTTTATTCTTACAAACTATGTAATATAAAAGTAAGTAAAAATTGAAATTAAATTTATTTTAGTCAAAATTTATTATATATTATTTATATAGAAAATTTTTTACTATTATTATTATTATTATTATTATTATTAATTTGTGTTTGTCATGATTTTAAAAAATGTAATTACATTTGTCAGTTTTATGGTTATGAAATAACATTTTAAACATTTAAAAAAAATGCTATTTTTTCAAATTTTATGTTGAAAAAATATTTTGTTTATAATTTTTAACAAATTTAAAAAATTTTATTTTCTTTATATTTAAAACGTTATGGAACTTAGAAAAAAAATTGTAATTTTAAATTTAATTTATGTAAAAATGAGTAAAAATCACACAAATAATAATAATAATAATAAATAAATAAAAATATTATTACGTTAACTTGTTAAATAAAATTCTAAAAATATTATTTTATCATGAAATAAAAATAATATATTAATATTTTTATTTTAAAAAAACTTATTACCCTTTTTTTATTAATTAACAAAAAATGTAAATGAAATTTAATTTAAATTTATCAATTAAATTCAGCTAATTAATTATATTTATTTAATATTTGTTATTTATTTGCAATAATTATTTATTTAATTTACATTAGTAAAATTCATTATTATTATTATTATTATTTGAATTTCAATAATTATTATTAATTTAAAGTTTTATTTTTGATTATTATAAAAAAAAAAAATTGATTTTATTGAGTGTGAAATAATTTTAGGCACCAAGATGGGCATGTTTTTTGTGTGCAGTCGGACTTTTTGTTTATCAAAGCTTAGATTCCATCGATGGAAAACAAGCTCGACGAACAGGAACATCTTCACCATTAGGTGAACTTTTTGATCATGGATGTGATTCTATTTCTACAGGTAATTAAATCATTTTTCTTATTAAATTCTTCGACAAAAAAAAAAATAATTTTATTTCATTAAAATGTTTAATTTTAATTAATAGGTATTTTTACAATTATTTTTACTAAATAATTTAATAAATATTTTAAAAGTGAATTTAATTTTCTTTCAATAATAAAAAATGGTAAAATAATTATAATTATAATAATAAAAATAATAGTAATAATAATGATAACAATTCTATTAAATTAAAATATTTATTTATTTATTTATTTATTTATAATTCTTATTTTTTCTAATAAAATATTATAATAACAAAAAAAGGGTCATAAAAAATTTTTTTCTATTTAATTGTTTTATTTTTAGAAAATTTCCTCTATTAAATTGAATGAATTGTAAAAACCTTGCGATTTAATCGCAGAGTATTAAAAAAAAAAAAAAAGACTCCGAACATTTACAATTTAACTCGCAGTTTGGTTTCATATTTCCGATCACATGATTAAAATACAATATCAAGTTCATTTATTGATTAACGCATTGTTTGAAATTTAAAAAAGAAAATTAATATCAATTATTAATGCTTTTCTTTTCTTTAAATAATTAAAGAAATTACAAAAACTCATTTTTTTCTCAATTATATAAAAGAAAATTATTAATATAACTAATAATGAGAAATTTTACAAATAAATTGAAATAGATATCTTTATTTTCTTTCCATTAAAAAAAGGGGGTGGGGGATTTTGATAATTTTAACAAACAATAAATGCTTTTGTTTTAGTTTTTTTGTTGAAATAAGCTATATAATTTTATTTTAATTATACTATTCTACTGATATTACCAATATTATATTAATTATTTTTATTTTTTTTGTTCTAATTATACGATAATTTCTTATATTTATGTAGATTAAAGTTTTTTTTTTTTTTAATGTAAATTAAAGTTATTTTATAGTAATTAGAGTAATTTTTATGAAAATAAATTTTCCACACAAAAGGTATTAATGAATAAATTATATAGATAAGAAACTTTAAAAATAAAAATGTTGAAATTGGAAATAATTGTTCATTATCTTTAAATAGCTTTCCATTTATTTTAAATGAGAAAGTGAAAATTATAAAAGGAATAAAAATACTTGATGAATTTTAAAGAAAAATTTGTGTAACTTATTTTTTTTTTCTGAATTTTATGCAAAAGTTATTTATATTTTTTTTAATTGCAAAAAAATATAAAATTTTTGGAAAAAAAATTAATTTTTAAAATTAATTTATTTAAATAATTATTTAATCATTTTTTTTTTAAATCTCTTTTCTGTTTTACTGTGGTTTTTATTTTTTGTTTTTTAACGAAAAATTATTTTCGAATTTTCTAATTTTTCCGCTTGAAAGATATTTATACTTTCTCACATTCTTTCATCCATAAAGAGTGTGGGAAAATTAGAAATTGAAAATTTTAGTAAAACTATATCTTTAAAAAAAAAGGATAAAAAAATAGTTTTTTAGTTAATAAAAGAAATTAAAATTTTTATTGGAAAACAAAAAATTGAAACGTGAAAGAAAAATTAATTAACAGTTTAAAACTTTAGAAAGAATTTTACTGAAATAATAATTTTTATAAATTTTAATAAATAAATAAAAGAAGTAAAATTTTACAAAATTAATTTTCATTTACATTTTAATTATAATAATTGATTAAAATAATAAATAATAATTTTATTTATTTAAATGTTGAGAATATTTTAAAAACATTGATATTATTATTATTATTATTATTATTATTATTATTATTATTATTATTATTATTATTATTATTATTATTCTCAACATGTGAATAAAATATAAAAATCAAATAAATTTTCTTTAAATTTCTATCATTATATCTTCTTTTTTTTTATTTTAATTATCCTACAGTTTTCGTGGCAGTTTCGGCCTGTATAGCAGTTCAATTGGGTTTTCATCCAACCTGGATGTTTTTCCAATGTTTTTGCGCAATGACACTATTTTATTGTGCCCATTGGCAGGCGTATGTTTCAGGTAAAAAAAAAAAAAAAATGAAAAAAAAAAGAAAAAAGAAGCACATTTTTATAATGTTCCATTTTAACCGATTCGATTGATTCTCATTATTCAATGTAGGAATGACTTGCTTCTGTTTGAGCATTGCTTAACTTTCTAGTCACGCCATTTATTACTGACGTAATCACCTCTATTATATATCTATACATAAATTTATTTCTTTTTTTTCTCTATTTCCATTTCATCTTATTTACTTTTTCGATCTTTCATATATATATTCAATCTTTATTGTCTCTCTACAGTTTTAGAATTAAAAAAAAAAAAATAATATAATCGAAATAATTTGATAATAATAAAAGATAAAGATAAATTTATTTATTCATTGTAAAACTTTTTAAGTTTAATATATTATTCCCTATTAATTTCTCTTTATTTTTTAAGAATTTAATATTGTTCATAATATTAAAGTCCAATAGATAATTATAAAAATAATAATAATAATAATAATTTTAGGTTCTCTGAAATTTGGAAAAATTGACGTCACAGAAGCACAATTCACGATAATTGCCATTCATCTTATTTCGACAATATTTGGACCGGAAATATGGATGATGGAGGTTGTATTTATTTTTAATTTTCTCATTTATAGAAATTATTCAAGAAATGTTTTTTTTTTTTAAACACATTTTTTGCAGGTTTTCTTTAAATTTATTTTGATAAAAAATATTTTTAAAGATAATTTAAACAATATATATTTAATAGTTTATTTTTATTTATTTTATATTATATTATTATAACTAAAAATTTATTTGTATTTTTTTTCAAAAACAAATTTTCTTCTTTTTTTCATTGAAAACATATAAAAAATATTAAAATTATTTTTTTTTTGTAATTTTTCTTTTTTAATTTTCAAGTTTGATGAATGTTAAAAAGTTTTCAAAAATCTTTATATTTTTTGTTATTTAAAATTTTTTTTTTGTACAAAATAATTTTTTGTTTTTTAACGCAGCATAAGAGAATTTTTTTTGTTAGGATGAGAGAGAAAAGTGGATTTTGAAAAAAAATAGAAATTTTCCCACAAATTTTAAATACGTATTTTTTTTTTTTTGCTGGTTAAAATAATCGATAAAACACTATTTAAAATTTTTCCTTGAGAAATACAGTTAAAAAATGGCGTTGAATTGATTTTTTTTTCATTTTACGGTGGAGTAAATTTTTTTCAAATTAGATTTTTAAAGTTTAGATTATTTGTTTATTTCAAAATTAAAAAAAAAACATTCAGATATTACTATTTGTGTTTTTTTTTCAATTAATTTTACAATAACTTTTCAGTAAAATTCAAAATTTTTTTATTTATTTATTTACTTCTCCATTTTTAATTTTTTCTCAAATAAAGTTTGAGGAAATCTTTCGAAAATAAAAAAAATCTTTTTTTTAAAAAATGCATTTTTTCGATATTAATATATATTTTTTTGCTACAATTAAATTGACAATAAGGAACTATAAAAAATATTGCTATAATAAAAAATTGTTAAATAATTTTTTCAGGAAGATATAATTAATTAAAAACGAATTTAAATGAACTAAAATTAAATAAATTTATTTAGATGTGTTAATTTAAATTAAATAAATTATATAAAAATTAATTTAAATTAGGTTTGTTTAATTAGTTTTTTTCCATTTAAATATATAGTAATAATTTAATAGTCATAAATATATTTACAGTTATAAACTTTTTACGCCGTAGACATTTTTTATTTTTGTATTTTTTTTTTTTTTTTTTTTTTTAAAGAATTGAATTAAAAAAAGAAATTAATAATAACAATAAGGTTAAAAGCAAATCTACATTTTCGAACTCGAAGTAAAAAAAAAAATTCGGAATTATTGAAATAAATGGATAGGATTTTTTTTTTGAATTCATTGAGAACGTTTCTTACAGATACCATTTATAGAAGGTTTTCAGTTTAAATATTTGATAGGAGTGATGACAATAATGGGTGCATTGGCAAACTTATACACAATGTTTTCGGTGATTTTCACCGGAGGAATAGGCAAGAACGGTTCGACTGTTGCCGTAAGTTTTATTAGTTAGCGAATCTGTTTTTTTTTTAATTATTTTTTATTTTGGAGATATGCGAAATAAAGCAAAATGAAAAAAAAAAATTAATTATTCTGGGACCGGCATGGCATGAGGAGCGGCTCTCAAATTTACTGACACATTGCATTTATTAACTATTATTACGTTCATATAGTAATAATAATTTTTTATTATTATATTTATTACTAATGTCGAACTGTTCCTTATCCTTCGTTTTTTCACTCTATTTTTTATAGAAAATTTGTCTGAAAAAAATATCATTCCCTATACTTATTCCCTCTTAGAAAAATTGCACATCCCTTCTTTAAAAATTATTTCTCTCTCTCTCTCTCTCTGTCTCTTTTTTTTCAAAATTATTTCTGTTTTTGTAGAACTTATTTTACGCGATCGTTTAAATTAGCAGAATGGGGTGGGAGGAGATTTATTATAATATTGATTTACATTTATTTAGGAAAATGAATTAGAAATAATTATATGGCAAACAATTTAGAAAATAAACGTTTTTTCGGTTAGAATTGTAAAAATTTTTTCGTCATTGAACAAGGAAAATTAGATATTATTATGGAAACTTATTTTAGGGTAAAGTAAAAAAAAAATTCTTTTTTAATTCCTTTTGATATTTTGTGTAGGGTTTAATAAAAATTAGGCGACAGTTTTGAAAAACTTATTTTCTACTTTAATATTTTCTGCTGTATCGAACTTATTTAAATACAAATTGATTTAAAAAAATTTTAAAATTTTTTTTATATATTTAATATTTAAAAAATAATTATATTTGCCACCACCGCATTTTGAAAATTATTTAAAATTAAATTTTTTCTTGCAAAAAAGAAAGATAATTGAAATAAAATAATATTTTAATAATAATATTTTATTTCAACGATTTTATTGGCAAATTTACAAATTATTTTATTGAATTTGAATTGAGGGTTTTTTTTTATTATTCACTTTATAAGAATTTATTATTATAAATAATATTTATATCTTTATTTATATATTGTAATATTATAATTATATCAATATATTTATAATAAATATAAATAAAAATAATATAATAATTAAAATACGTGATAAATTGAAATTATTTGCATCGTTCTTGTGGCTTTTGAAATATTTTTATTTTACAAAAAAAAAGTCATTTAAATTGCTTTTTTTATTTTTTATTTATTTTGAAAAAAAATTTGTTTACCTATTTAAATTGTATTAAATTTTTCTAAAATAAAATTTTTAATTATTGACAGATAATCAAAAATCAAATAAATCATTTTTTTTGTTCTCGATTTATTTTTTTTTCGAGAATACCAATTTTTTTGGCAAAATATTTTTGATAAAAATATTATTGTATTTTTTTTTTAAATTAAATTATTATTGTAATATTTTTTTTAATTAATTAATAATTATTTAATTCAAAAATTAAATTATTATAATTTTTTTTTAATTAATTACTATATTCAATTTTAAATTAAATTGAATTATTTGTTTTAAATTAAAAATTATTTTTTTTTAATAAATAAGCACTGTGATTACTAAAATGATCCTACATTTTGTATTTAGAAGAAGAAAAAAAAACTATTCTCTGACAATTTACCTGACAACGAGAAAAAGAAATGAATTTTGTATCTTTCTTCTTTTTTTTAAAGTAACTTTTCGAATAATGATGAATTTGTTTAGATCCCAATTCCTGGCCTGAATGTTACATTGAATCAAGGCGTAATGGTCCTTTTTACCGCCGGCTTTCTTCAACTTTTCGTTCAGTTCTGTAAAGTCTTTGAATCCGGCGGGATAGGAAAAAATGGATCCACCATTGCTGTAAGTTCAATTTCTGGTCAGAAGGGAAAATCTAAAAAAAAAAAAAATAATAATAATTCTTTTTCTTTCAATTTTCTTTCAGTTCTTAATAAAGTTTTTGAAAATATTTTTCTAAAATATAAAATATTTCTATTACCATAAAATATTTTATATTTTTAATTTTTTCTATTTCCATATTTAAAAAAAAAAAAAAAATATTTTATAAAAAATATAAGATACCTATTTTTTATAAAATATTTATTTTATAAAATATAAATATTTTATAGAAAATAATTAATGTAAAACAAAAAATAATGCAAAGTAATTTGTAAGAAATTTATTTTTTTGCTAATTGATTTAATAGAAATTTGAAAGTCATGTAAATGAATAATTAACGATTGTTTGAAAAAAAAAATTCTATTGTAGGATTGAATTTTATTTTCATAACTTTAGATATTGTCTCCTTTGGAAACAAATTTTCTAAGGTTTGATTTTACAATTTTTTATAAACACGCAGACCATACAATAATGTTGACAAAATTATTTTATCGAAGAAAAATTATTTCCTCTTAATTTTTTAAATGTTATTTAAACAATTTAACTGATTTTTCATTCTATTTTTTTCATTGAATATAATTTTTTTTTCAATTTAATTTTGCATTAAATAAAATTTTTTAATTTTTTTCTAATTTTCTACATTTATAATTTAAATAAAATAACTAATATTTATAAATTATAATAAAATAATAATTGTAATTTTTTTTATTAAGAAAATTTAAAAATAATTTAAATTAAATTTAAAAACTAAAGAAAAATCCAACTTTTAAGAAACAAATTTTTTATTATTAAAAAAGTTTAAATAAATACGATTACATTTTTTTTTTAAATTATAATTTTCAATCAAATTATAGAGAATTAACATTTTATTCTAATTCCTCATTTGGTTTTTTTTTTCATCGTGATTTATTGCTTACATGATATCTTTAACATCTGAAGTAAATTAATTGATTAATATTATTATAATTTAAATTTTACATTAAATTATTTATTATATATTAATTGATTAATTTTACATTTATTTACTGTGCTTTTAACATGACAAAAATTTTTTTTAAAATCTCTTCAAAGCTTTCTTTAAATAATTGTTTCTTAACTCTGCGAAAAAAATCTATTAATTCCTTTTTGAAATAGAAATTTTTATTTTAAATAATTTTTCATTTATTTTTATATTTTAATTCACTTTTGATTTCAGTTATAAAAATTTCATTTATTAATTGAATTCAATATTTAATTTTTGTAAATTTTAATTTAATATTTTGTACATTATGAAAAAAAATTATCTTTTTTTTTTCTAAAAAAAAAAAACTAATTTTATAATTTTCTGTTTGTGTGTATATTTGTTTATTTATAACAATAATAATAATTATAATAATTATTATTCTTAAAATTATAATAATTACTATTATTGTAATAATAATAATAATAATAATTATTATTATTATTATTATAAAATTAACAACACTTTCAAATGCTACCTAAGCTTTGGATGCAAATAATCTTTTTATCACGTTGATACATAGTTTAAATTTTTGATGTAAGAATTGTGGTTTTTGAATTAACTGATACTAATCCATTTTTTAATATTTGTTGGTTTTTTATTTTTTTGTAAAATTAAATGGAAAAAATGTATGTAAATTTTTTATAAATGTTTTGATTAACATTTCTTCATGTATCATAATAATTTTAATTTTTAAATCGATTTAAAGTGAAAAAAAATGTGTGAAATAATACTGATATTAAATGAAACTGATTTTTAAAAAAACAAAAAAAAAGCGCGCAACAATTTCGATCAATTTGGAATTTTTAGCAATTATTTTGCGAGCGGTTGGTGGCACATCTATTCTAAATTCGATTTTGTTCAGGAAAATCTAGGAAATTGAAAAAATTAACTTAAGGAATCAAAAATATATTTTCTTTATACATAACAAGGTAAATTATATATTAGGAAAAAATTAGAATTGTCAAAAAAAAAAAAAAAATCTGCCTATTATTATTGTTATCCGGAAATTTTCTTTATTTTCTCATTCGTAAAAGGGGATTTTTATAATAATATTAAAAAATTTTATTAACTATATCGAATTCGAAAATTGAGAAAGGCTTAAAAAGCAAAGAAAGAAAAACAAAATGGCACTAATATATGAAATAAATAAAATTTTGTTTTTATAAAGTAAAACCACGAGAAGAATACGAAATATTAATTTACAAAAAATTTTAATTGAGGGATTTCGGTTTTCGATTATACAGTTGCCATACACTGGCACTGAAGTGAAGGTCTTTCCATTATGGGGCGCAGTGGGTGTCGCTGTTTTACTCGCACTGAACAGTTTGTCCGTCATTCTTGCCGGTGGTGTCGGAAAAAATGGCTCCACCGTCGCAGTAAGTCAGTCATTAAGAAAAGAAAAAAAAAAATTTTTTTTTTTTATGTAGGTCCGATGTGTAGTGCACACTTTTCTATTGAGATTCAGGTCCGTGAGAAGTAAATAATGAAAAAAAAGTGAAGAAAAATAGTACATTATTCAACCAAGTACGAAAAGTAGCTGTTTTTCGATGAGTTTGTAAATTGTTATATATTCGAACTCGTGGAAAAATGCTACTTTTCGCACTTGGTGCATAATAGTACTTTGTGTAACAAGTGCTTAGAAAAAATGCCATTTTGTGTACTGTAAAATAAGATTAAGGTTATGTTGCCTAATTGCAAAGGATACACTGTATATTGAAATAAAAAAAGAAAAGTACACTTTTTTGCATAGTATACAGCAAAGTTATAAAAAAACAGTGCAGGAAAGTATACTTTTTTAGATAGCAGACAATAAAGTATAAAAAACAGTGCAGAAAAGTACAATTTTCTGCACAGTATACGGCGGCGTTATAAACAGTGCAGAAAACTATATTTTTCTACACACTATACAAAAAAAGTTACGATAACAGTGCAGAAAACTGTACTTTTTTGCATTGCTATAAAAGCTGTAAAAAACTGTACAGAAAAGTAAAGAGCAAATTTAAAAACAGTGTAAAAAAGTACACTGTACTACTTAGTATTTAGCAAAGTTAAAAAAAACAGTGCAGAAAAGTACAGTTTTTTAAATAGTAAATAGTAAACAGCAAACTTAAAAACAGTGCAGAAAAGTACACTTTTTTTTGCATAGTATTCAAGAAAGTTGAAAATATTGCAGAAAGTTACACTTTTCTATATAGTTTTGAACAAAATTAAAGTCAGTGCAGAAAACTATACTTTTCTGCATACTATACAAATTATAAAAAATGGTACAGAAAACTGTACTTTACTGCATTGTATTTATCAAATTTATAAAAAAAATGTAGGAAAAAGTACACTTTTTTGCACAGTATTCAGCAAAGTTAAAACAGTGCAGAAAAGTGCATTTTTCTGAACTGTAAAAATGAAAGCTATAAAAAAAACTGTACAGAAAAGTACACTTTTTTGCACAGTATAAAAAAAAACTTAAAAACAGTGAAGAAAAGTATACTTTACTGCTTACTGTACGAAAAGGTTATAAAAACCAGTGCAGAAAACTGTACTTTTGTGCATTGTATTACTTTTCTGAATTCAATAAATCACAGTTTTAAAAAATTGTACGGAAAATTACACTTTTCTCCATAGTATGCCGTAAAGTTAAAAGCAGTGCAGAAAAGTATAGTTTTCTGCACACTATACAGTAAAGAAAAATACAATTTTCTACCTACTGTACAACAAAATAAAATCGTGCAAAAAAAGTATACTTTTCTGCACACTATACAGTAAAAAAAGTGCACTTTTCTGCCTACTGTGCAGCATAATAAAAACGTGCAGAAAAATAAATTTTTCTGTTTAGTATGAAAAAAAGTTAAAAAAAAACAGTGCAGAAAAGTATACTTTTCTGCATAGTGTGAAAAAAATTAAAAAAACAGTGTAGAAAAGTATATTTTTCTGCATAGTATGCAAAAAAGTTTTTAAAAAAAAACAATGCAGAAAAGTACACTTTTGCGCATAGTTAACAGAAAAGTTTCATTTAGCAGAAAAGAACAACTTTATAGTTCAATTACATGAAAGTAAAGTAGTGTTTTTCTTGCAGGTGTTACACAAAGTATAGTTTTTTAGTTATTTTTCAAAATTTTTCCAGATAATTCCAACTAGCTTTGTTCTAACGCGCTATTTTTTTTTTAATATCCTTTATTTGTCGAATTTAATAGCTCGTGCTTTTCTCCAGTTAGGCATATTAAAGAACAATGCTAGTCCTGTTTTGGATAAAAAAGAAAAGAAGTGAAATGTATAAAAAAATAGTCTGGACCTGAATCTCTCAAATACCACTAAATATTTTCAACACATTGTCGTTTTTTCAGTCAAAAAAATAAAAAAAATGTCTTTTTTAATATCCTATACATTTTTTTTTAAATCTCTTCGTGTCCAATTTACAAATCCTTTGTTTAAATTATCTTCCCGAAAAAAATATATCCTACTACTAACAGTTATAGATTTTTTTGCATGAAATTGTAATCTATTGTTGCATGAAAATTAGAACAACTTTATAGAATTGCTTGATGCTGTTTTTTTTTTGTATTGTACACGCTAAATTTTATTATCTTTCCTGCATTTTTTGCATGCTAATGTAATTGTGCTTTAAAATTAATTCCATTAACTCTGAAATATAATTTATTTATTAATTTTTATATGTAAGTAGGTTTTTGTTTTGAAAAAAAAATTGTTTACATAGTTTAAAATAACACATTTTGTAAAATGTTCCATTAAAACAAATTTTTGGTAATATTTTTTTTAATATAGTAAAAAATTTGCATTGTTTTATTTGCTTACAAGATAATAATTCAAAAAAAAAAAAAAAAAATGATTAAATTCAAAATTTAAAAAGAAAATAAATACTGTAATTGAAAAAAAATTATTTGATTTAAATATTCTGTTACTTGACTATTATCAAATAAATATTTATTTGATACAAATAAATACAAAATAAATATTTATTTGTATCAAATAATTATTATTTGAATGGTATTAAATGGTATTTGTTTCAAATACATAAATTATTGGTTCAAATACATTTTATTTAAATCAAATAAAAATTATTTGGTTCAAGTAAATATTTATTTAATAATAGTCCAAGTAACCGATTATTTGAATGGAATAAATATTTTTTTTCAGTGTAGAAAAGAAAAATTAAAAATAGCCAAAGTTTACAATTTTAATCTTTTTTTTGGATTTTTTTTTTTTTTTTAAGGAATTATGATTTTAATTTGTAAACAATATATCAGGATTTACGCTTTAAAAAAAAAATGCTATTATTTTCATTGTTCTAATATTTTTATTTAATATAAAATTTCTTTGTGATTTTTTTTTTAACAATATCGTAAAAAATTGCTTTTACATGTTAGAAAATAATATTAATGTTAAATTGAAAATTTATTCATACCTATATTTTTTTTGTATTGTTTTCTTTTTTTATTTATTTATTTTTTAAAAGACATTTCTCTCAGAGAGTAGTTTTTTTTTCTTTCAGGGAACATCTGTTTTGTCACCAATTATTCCATTGGCTTTTGTCGTTGTACCGGCTTTCATAATATACAGAAAAAGTGCTGAGCACGTTTATGAAAATCATCCGGTACTTTATATACTTGCGTTTGGAATGGTCGCTGCTAAAGTTACGAATCGTCTCGTTGTAAGTATTTTTTTTTTTAAATAAAAATATATATTTTCTCTCGAAACCGAAATAAAATTTTTTTTTAAAACAGAAAAAAAAGTTTTTTGTTGAAACAAAAAAAAAGAAAAAAAAAAATATTAAGGGAAAAAAAAGAAGTACGATGTTACAGGCCTCGGATTATACGACTTTTTTCGATTTATTTTAATAAAATGCAACTATTTCGACTTTTTTTACATTTAAAAAAAAAAATTTAAATGAACTATATTTTTTTTTAGTATAAAATGCAGATCTTCTTCATATCTTATTTATTTTAATTATTTAACAAATTTTAAACTAAAATTCTTCACTAAATTAATTATTTTTAATAATTTTAATGAAATTCGTCACAAATTCAATTATATTTCAAATTATTTTTCAATTAAAATTTTTATAAAATTTAACAATTGTTTATAATTTTTAAAAAATATCAAATAAAATTACCAAAAATTTTTTATTCAAAATCATAAATCAATTTAAAATCAAATAAAATTTAATTATTTTTCAATAATTTCAATTCAAAATCAAGTAAAATTCAATTATTATCCAAAATTTCAATTCAAAATCAAAGAAAATTTAATTATTTTCAAAATTTTCAATTCAAAATCAAATATAATTCAATTATTACCAAAAATTTCAATTCAAAATCAATTAAAATTGATTATCCAAAATTATCCAAAATTTTTAATTCAAAATTAATTATTATCAAAATTTTCAATCAAAAATTAACTAAAATTGAATTATTATCCAAAATTTCAATTATAATTCAATTATTTTCAAAAACTTTAATTTAAAAGCTTCTAAAATTTAATTATTTCTAAAATTATCCCATCGAAAATTTTTTGATAATTAACAATTTCAATTGTAACTCTAAGGAAATTAAATTATTTTTAACTATTTTTATAATATTCTTTGAAAATTCAACTATCTGAAACCATTTTTCAATGAAAAATGGTTTTCAAATTATTGTATTTTTGTCCGCAATTTCTAATAAATTTTTTAGTGAAATCATCAAAAAAAATTGTTAATTAAAAATCACTTGAAGTTCAATTAATTTTAAAAATCTCCATTGTAAATCTTTGAAAATTCAATTACAAAAATCAACTTTTTCGACTTTTTTTGGAATATAAATCGACTAAAACTACTTTTTTTTTGTGCCTTTAAGTCGATCCGAGGCCTGAATTTAGAAAAATTGTAAATTAAAAAAATTATTCATTTTACAGGTTGCACACATGACCAAAAGTGAGATGAAATATTTTGATAGTTCATTAATTGGACCAGCGATGTTGTTTTTCAATCAGTACTTTAATTTCTTTATAAAGGAGTACTTTGTTTTGTGGCTGTGTTTTGTAAGTTGTTTATTATTATTATTATTATTATTTAGACAGTTAATATTTTTAATTAATTAACAAAATACGAGGATTAATTTTCTTTAGATTTTCAATTTTTTTGTTTAGATTATTATATTTCGATTATTTATAAATTATAAAATAATAATAATTAGTTTAAATAAAAAATTATAAGAAATAAATTATTAGGTTTAAAAAAACAGTTAAAAAATCCAAAAAATTTGTTTTAATGAAATTTCAAATCATTTAAAGTTTGTAAAATTAGATAAAATGACGTTTAGTGTTAATGGCATGAAGGGGAAAATAAAAAAAAATTAAAATTAATCTTCGAAATTATTTTGAAATGATTAAAAAATAAATTTAAATTTTCTTTTTAGATATGGGTGACACTTGACTTGATGCGATATTGTTCGCAAGTTTGCATTGAAATTTGCGAACATTTGAATATTCAATTATTTAGGATACCAGTGATGGATCATCGCACAAGTTCACAACAACTAGCGGAAAAAAACGGTACTAATAGGTCGTTACGTACTAGATTACAAAAAAAGAATCACTAGCAAAATATTCATCTGTGATAATGAATGCGATGAGCGGTTTCCAAAATGACTTTTTTTTATCTAATTTCTTTTTTTTTTCTTTTTTTTCTCTTTTCTCTTTTATTTTTCTTTTTCTATTTGTACATACACGAAAGTAATCAAAAGAAAGCAAAAAAAAAAAAAAAATGGAAACAAAGGGACTGCTGTTCATTCGTTATAACGCCAAGCTCACTTTTCTTCCAAATAGCATTAAAGTCCAAAAGAAAAAAAAAAAAGATTCTAATTTTTCAGCGCGCCAATTGCAGCGTATTATAGAACACAAAAATATTTTTTCCCCCTCGCGAATAATTATTTATTCAAAGATGGGCCATATCGTTTTTTAACTGAAGAAAAAGATGTTTTTTTTTAATTTTTCAAAAAGTTGTTAAATTATTTTTAAATTTCTTTCTTTTTGTTAGTATTTACAGTTTTTACTTTTTTTTTTTTTTTTCTCTCTCCAACAACTCGGAAAGTGTAAAATTCCAATTTATTATTTATTATTTATTAAATTGTGTATGAAAAAAGTTTATGTGAGATAATGTTAATAAATTTTTTCGAAAATTAATATCGAGAAAAATTCTTTAAAAGTCAATAAAAAAAAAAAAAAAAAAAAAAAAAATTGAGTTTTAAAATGACGTGGTTCAACTTTAGAAAAAAATTTATTACAAATAAAGCAAATGATTTTTATCATATTATAAGTGTCCTAAAATTAAAAAGAAAGGAAATAAATATCTGTCCAATTATAATAAACCCGTTTAGGGATCGTTAATGTGAAACGCAGAAAAAAAGAAAGAGATATTTTCATATTTGCATCTCATTTTTCTTTTTTTTTTTTAAATAGAATAATAATCAAATTTTACTTTTTGTATACGAAAGAAAAAACAATTTTTGAGATTAAAAAAAAAGAAAAGGAAAATTGTGTTCCTAATGAATAATAAATATTTAAAAAAATTTTTTTTTTTAAATTCGCTCTACTTTAAAGCTTTTTTATTTGGAAGATGTGGGCAATTTTTTTTTCAAATTAAAAATCTTTACTAACTGTTGTAAAAAAAAGAATAATTAATCGCATGCTTGCTTTTTACACGCTTTTTGAAAAAAAAAATAATGTGAAATATTTTTTTTTTTAACATTTTAATCTATTAATAGTTTAACTTTAATTTTTTAACTATTGAATTTTATGGTTTTCGTGATTTTCATCTTGTCATTAAATTAATGAAACGAAAAGAATTTTAATTAAAGAGGAAATATAATTTTTCAAAAATATTATTTGAATAAAATATAATTATTAGAAAATATAATTTAAAAAAATATAATTTTAGAATAATATTATTTAAAAAAATAACATAAATTTTATTTACAAACTAAATTTTTTTTTTTTTTGTTATTTAGTATTTATTTGTTATTTGATTTTTGAGTTTTTGTAATTAATTCATTTTCTATATTGTGTAGATTTTAAAATAAATGAAATAATATATCGAAATGAAGCATAAAAAAAACGAAAAAAGTATTAAAATTAAAAAGTAATTAAATTAATACTTAAAAAATTTTTATTTCGTTTTTTTGTGAAGCTTAAAAAATATTTATGTATAATAATAATATTTTTAGAAAACTAATTAAAATTTTTCTTTTCATAATTTATTAAGAACACAATTTTCTCTATTTTTCTTTTTCTTTCCGTTCAAAAATTAAAATAATTTTTATATATATATTCTTCGATGCACTTTGCAGAAAAAAAAGATAGTTACCTTTAAAAATAGCCTATATATATAGATATGTGTAAATATTTTTTCCTCATTGCAAAACAGCTGTCACGCTTTTAACAGTTGTTTTTCACTGGTATTTTTATTTTTTAGAAACTACTATTAAGAGTTAAGAATATTGACAATACTATTTTCAACTATGTGCTACTTTTGTTCTCTAAAAAAAAAAAAAAAAAATTGTTTTGCGAATTGTGACAAATTTCTTTGGCACTGAATTTTGCTTAGTTTGAAATTTTTCCAAATACAGTTTTTCCAAGTTTTGTTTTTTCAATGTTGTAGAATTTTTTTTTCATTTATATAATTTTACAGTTTATTTTACGGCACAGTGTTTTTTTTACAATTGAAAATTTTATATCAGAAAAGAAATATTTCGTTACAAATTTAATTTGTAAAAAATAAGTTTTACGACAAAAAAAAAAAACTTAAGTTATAAAATATTAATTTTGAAACGTAAAAATTTATTAGAAGAAAATTGAGAAAAAATTATGTTAATTAAAATTTTTTTTTTAAATTCAAAATTAATGAGGTTATATGTACTTACAAAGTAATTATTTAATCAGAAGCGAAGAAATTTATTAATTTTTTAAAGAATATAAAAAAAAAATCTGCAACTGTAATTTATAAATTAAGTAGCAAATTTTCTTATTTTTATCACTTTCATTGTTTTATTTTAAAAATAATTCATTTGATTTTACAAAGAAAGAAAATAGTAAATGAAATTTTTTTTCATTTTATTAAAAATTTTTTTTTTATTTTTAATTATTTTTTATTATATATAAGAAATATTAATTTTGTCCTCTTTTTTTCGTAACTATTTTAAGAAACTTTTTCTCTTCAAAAAAAGATTTATATACAGAGCCAAATTCAAAAACTCTCGATATTGTGTACATAAAACAAAAATAGTAGTAAAACAATTTTTGTGTTTTTTTAATTTCGCGAGACATTAAAAAAAGTATTGACTAAAAAAATATAAATTATATCAATTTCCGAAAGAAACAAATAGAAAAAATTAGTTTAAAATCGATAAAAAAAAAGACAAGTACCTTAATTAAGTATTAATTGAGACGATTTATAAGCGTCTTTAAATTTTTTTTTGTAAGGTACAAATAATAATAATTATAAAAAATTATTTTAAAAAATTTGAATAATGTATGAAAATCGATGCGTTTGAAAATTTAATTGAATAAAAATATCTTGTTCGATAAACAAATATAAAAATTATTGAGAAGTGAGTGATCGAAACTTGATTGATCTACTTTTAAATGGAAAAAAAAATCTAAAATTTAGAAAATTTATTTAAAATTTAAATTTAAAAAAAAAATTAAATTGAAATTTCAGTTAACTTTTAATTAACATTTGGTTATTAAGTTAACATTTATTAATTTTTAAAAATAATTTATTAACTTTTCTGTTTATTAATATTAAAAAAAAGGACATTAACTTATTAATTGCACTTTTATTTCTTTAAAAAAATTGTCAATTAAAATTTTTTCACAAAAAATATTTTAATTTCATTTATTTATTTATTAAATTAAATTTGAAATAAACAAAAAATTTAATTGAAAATTTCAAAAATTCGATTTATTTTAATAGTAAATTCATTTATTATAAATAAATCATTTTTGTGGATTTATCTGGTTTCGTTCGCTTATTTTTTGATTAAATTTGTTTTCTTTAAAAGAAAAAATAAAAAAAAAAAATATTTTAATTTCCTGTTCCTCAATATTGAAGCGCGCACGAAAAAAGAAAAATGAAAAAATGTAGGTATGTCAATACTTTCGTCTGCATGATTTTTGATTACGGTACTTGTGCTTTTAGAGATTTTTTTTTTTTTTAAGAGCATTTGAACCTTCGTGACGTCACAAATCATGGCGCATGACACGCAAACTTCTCAGGTATGTGAAAAGCACAATTTTGAATATTTTTTAAAAAAACCTTTTGGAAAATGTTCAGAATAACATAGACTCTGTCTGTTATGTGCGGAAAATTCAAAATTTTGCGTTTAAAACGTTTTTTAAACAATTTTAAGGTCACAAATCATGGCGCATGACACGCAAACTTCTCAGGTATGTGAAAAACACAATTTTGAATATTTTTTAAAAAAACCTTTTGGAAAATATTCAGAATAACACAGACTCTGTCTGTTATGTGCGAAAAATTCAAAATTTTGCGTTTAAAACGTTTTTTAAACAATGTTTAAGTTGGTTGTCACAAGTAAGGAAAAATACACGAATTGCTTATATGTAGGCATTGTTTAAAAAACGTTTTAAACGCAAAATTTTGAATTTTTCGCACATAACAGACAGAGTCTGTGTTATTCTGAATATTTTCCAAAAGGTTTTTTTAAAAAATATTTAAAATTGTGCTTTTCAGATACCTGAGAAGTTTGCGTGTCATGCGCCATGATTTGTGACGTCACGAAGGTTCAAATGCTCTTAATTATCTAACACTTTATGCATGCTATTTAGTATTTTGATTTTTTTTTTTTTTTTTGCCAAAAGATTTCTTTACAAAGAAAAAAAAATCAGTTTTTTTTTAATCTTTGGAACATAAAAATAAATGCAATATTAATTTATAATTAAATTAAATAATAAATTTAGTATTTAAAACATTTATTTTATATTATTAGTTTGTAAATATAATTATTTTTTATTTTACTAATTTGTGTGATTAATTTTATCGAGATATTTTTACCCATTGATTTTTTTTAATTTAGTTGGCAAGCATGATTTTTGAAAGCACGAATTTTATTTTTATGGGAATGAATTTAAAAAAAATTGAATTAATTTTTATTAAAAAATTAATTTTCGTATTTTTGACATATATATAGAGAATAATAATTTTATTGATTTATCGATATATTTTTTTTCCATTTTTCGAAATTAAAATCATGTATGCCAATTGAATAATATTTAATAACAATATAACTTGTTTTTGCATGATGAGTTTTATTTGCAGTTAAAATGGTTGCGGACAAGGAAAAAATTCTCTTAAATGAGGACAATAGCTGTGATACTTCTCTCGATCTTTGATATTCGGAGTTTCGCATAATTATAGATGACAATAAGGATTCAAAAAACACTTCAGAGTAAAATGAAGATTTAAATATAACAGAAGCACATTAATTATTTATAATTCATAATAATAATTATTATTATTAATTGATTATAATTATTTATAATTGTTTAAAATTAAATATAATATATAATAAATAATTATTAATTAAAAATAATTATTTTTAATTGAAAATAAAAAATTATTACTAATTGAAAATTATTAATTAATAATTAATAATAATTATTACATTATAAATAATTAATTAATTTTTTCGGCATTCTTTGCAAGATTACGTATTTTTGTTATTATCTTTTTAAAAATCTAATTATGCAAATTTTTATAAATGCAACAACGAATTTTATACAAAACTTGATTCTTAAAATATTTACAGTAAAAAACAAAATTGTATTTATAAATTTTACAGTTAGTAAATTTTTTTTTATTATTAGTAGAAAAAAAAATTTATTTTCTCTTATATTATAAAATATTTATCTATAGTTTTCGAAATTTTTAATGAATTTAAAAAAAAAATGTGAATGTATATATTTTTTTTTTTTTTGAATATTTTTAAGAATCATGTTTTTTTTTCCTATTGCTTAATAGTCATTCTCATCATAAGTAAATATAGTCATTTTAGATAATTTCTTATTAGAATTTAAAACAATTAAATATTTGGTATTTTTGATTCTCTATTATTTATGTTTTTTTTCACAATTCAAATTTTTGTTAAAATTGTGAATTATAATTAGAAAAAATACAAAAAGGAAGCAAAATTAAATTATAATTATATAATATAATTTTTTGAAACAATTTCTATAATTTTTACAATATCAGAATTATTTCTGATAAAATTATATTATTTAAAAATGCAGTTACTATCGTAGAGATAAATTAATAGTTTTGTTACCAATTAATAATAATTAAGAAAAACTTAGTTATTAATTTTTTTTTTACTAGATTTAATTATGAATTTACAAAAAATATTGTTTACTTAAAAAAAAAATTGTAATATAAGATATTTAGAAATATATTCTAATATAGATTATAATTATAGGAGAAAATAATGATATATTAATGCCGTACTTTTATACAATGAAGGTGGCCTATAAATTTGAAAAATTGGAAATTTTTTTTTAACAAAGTGATATTTTATATTTTTGTGCAATATTCAAATTATTTTTTAGAAAAGTGCCTTAAAATTTTATAAATGATATTTTATATCAAAAAAGAATTATTTTTTTCAAAATTTTATCTTTTTTTTTTTTAGTTATTTAAACATTTTTTGGGTTAAAAATCAAAATTTATAGGCCTGATTCTAAAATAGAGAAAAATGCATTTATACCTTTGAAAAAAGTATTTTTATTTTTTTCAAAAATTGTAAAGAAAAAATATTTTCCATCAAAATCAAATAATTTTTGTAATCGCAGATAAATATTTTTACAAGCTTTTTTTTTTTTTTTTTTATTTACAATTCAAAAAAGTGTTAAATTTTTGTTAATTTGAAAAATTTATTCATTTATGAAAGATGGAAAAAAAATGTTCATTTTTTACTAATGTATATAATAGTCGAAAATTTGTTTTCCTATTGTCGCAAGATTTATACAAATAATATAAAATAAATAATATCTCTTAATTGATATTAATTTATGAATGAATTAAAAATAATTAGCGCTTAGTTTAGTTAATTCTTTTTTGTGTATAATTTTTACTTTATTTTTTTCTTCAACTTTTAAATGTTAATTAAATAAATATTAATTTACTTTAAAATGTAAAATTAATATCAACAATAATGATAATACTCTCAAAATGTTAATTAATTTTTTTTCGATTTTCATTTTTTTTTTACAAACATTCAATTAAATAATAATCGAAAAATTATTGTAAATCTGAAAAATTTGTTCATTAATTATAGTATAATTTATTTATAATTACAAATTATGTAATAATTAATTATTGAATAATATATTAATTATTTGATAATTAATTATAAAAATTATTATTATCGTTGATTATAATTCAATAAGCTTGGATAACTTTATATTTATGTATTTAATTATTTTTGTTACAACAAAAAAGGTACACCAGTATTTTACTGATAATTTTTTTTATCAATGCTATTGTAATTTCAAAAACTTAGGTATCTTGCTGATTGTAATAATTTTTTTAATATATATATATATATATATATATATACCAATAGATTTGTATGAATTTTGTGAAAAAAGAATTATTAATAAATATTTTGTTTTTTCAAATTATTGATAAAATTTAACAAAATTTTTAATAATTTGGATTGTTATATTAATAATTTTTGTAAAAAATTTCATGGTTATAATAAAGCAATTAAGAAAAAGATGATTTATACTTGATTTCATTTATTTTTAAATTCCCACCAACCTATAGTGGATGGGAAAACATGTCTCAATTCTTCTAATATGATATTTGTTAGAAAAGTACAAGTATAAATTTTCTTTCACCCTAATTGAAATACATAATTATTTTTAAATCATATTTTAAATGTATTTTAATGACTTGTGACACATGAATTACAATTGATAAATAAGTAGCCAGAAGGGTATTTCCATATGAGGTTGATAATAGAATTACCCCATACATGCAGTCCAGGACCTTAATCCCTTAATTAACTCCCATTACCTAATTGATTTTTTTTTTTTTTTTTTTTTTTTTTTTTTTTTTTTTTTTTGACAAAATTATATAATATTCACTAATTTTAAACTTTTGTAATTTTTAATATTACAATTCAAATTCACTGAATTTTTACAATTCTATAATGAAATTTTAATGTTTATTTAAGTATTATGAAAAATTAATCAATTTTATTATATTTTTACAAAATAATAGTTCATTTTGTACTTTTGAAAATTTTTTTACAATAATTCTAATTGTTGGTTTTTGTTAAATATATTTTTAAAAAATGTTTAATAAATAAAAAAATTAATTTCTGTTAAAAAAAATAACATATAAAAAAACAAAAAAATTTTATTAGTTCAATAACTTTTCAAAAAAATATTATTGCTTAAAAAAATTCAATAAACAAAATTTTATAGAGAATCTTTCAATTGTTTAGATTTTTTTTAAAAATTAATTTTTCTGTTAATTGTAAATATAACATTTTTTTTTCATATTAGATTATATATTATAATAATTTTATTTTAATAACAATTAACAAAAAAATTAATTTAAAAAATCAAACAGAATTACTGTAGAAAATTATTAAAAAATGAAAAATAAGCTATTATGTTTTAGTGAAAATTTAATAAAAACTATAATTGCTAACTATAAACAAAAAATAATAATTATTATTATAATTTTTTTTTATTTGAAACATTTTAGCGTTGTTATATTATATATTATAATATAAATAAATATATATTGAAATAAAATTATTATTATTTTATTATATTATTAATTATAATTATTAAAATACTTATTATATTAGGTATATATTTATATATATTTATATTTTATATAATTAATAATTTAGTATTACGAATAAAAATATATAATTATATATATGGTTTTTACATTAAAATTTAATAAAATTTTTAAAAATCATATTTTTTTGATGAAATATTTATTATATAAACCCCACTACAGTGAAATTTAGAGTGGGGATACTGGGTCCGTTAAAAGAGTGGGGACTGCTGATGTTTGAAATTATTGGTCCTCCCTTTTAAAGGAGTGGGGAACTAATGACGTTTGAAAATTTGGGTCCTGCGAAACAAAATACAAACCAAACAGTACACTTGTCCTTTGACTTTTGCGAAGTTCAGAAAGATACTAATATCTGATTTTCATTTTAATAAAATTAAACGTGCGTGCAGTTTATTTGAAATTTTTTTAAATAATTCTAACCATTAACGCGTTTAGTTTTTTTATACAAATATAAAATTTTTCCAGTGTTGCAAACTTTATTGCTGAATTAATTTTCATTTTAATTTAAGTGAATTTGCAAATTTTTGCTAAATTAAATTTTTTGATTTTGGATTCAAAAGTGAATTTGGTGAAGTGAAATTGGCTAAGTTCACAGGAGTAGAAAAGTCATCCACGAAACTTATAATGTAAGTTTTTTTTATATCAACATTATTTTTATTCTACAAATCCTGAATATTCAAATAAATGAAATTTTTTTTCACCCATACTTCCTTGAGTATATATATATATATATATATATATATATATATAAATTATATTAAAAAAATAATTTTTTATAATTATAATTATATAAATTCGCATTTTTATTTGTCATTGTATTTTGGTAATTTTTAACAAATAGACCGAAAATTAAAATCATTTATTTGATCGTTCAGAAATTTGTAGGCACATTATTATTTCCCGTTTCATTGCATTATGTGATTGTGATTTCGTATATATAAATATTTTCCGCAGGTTTTTTCTCAAAATAGTTAATAAAATTTTTATTATTATTATGATTATTATTATAGGAATTTTATTATATAATTACTGAATTTTTTTAGGTTAGGAATGATGTTTTAAACAAATTTCAAATAACTTAATATTAATAAAATTTTAATTTCAATGAATATATTAATAAATTATGATTTTTATCACTTTGAAGTCAATGGAGCGAATCAATTTTTTAAAAATAACTTTTGAAAAATTAATAAATAGTTTTTATTTATCGAGATCTATTTTTTAAAATAATAAAAATTAATAGTTTGATTTTATTTTTAAATTGATCTCGATAAATAAAAAATACTTTATCATTATACTTGGGTTCAAAAATTAATTTTTCAAATGTTATGTTAAAAAAACTGATTTGCTCCATTGACTTCAGTGTACTGTATGTCCTCCAAGAAGCGGCCATTTTGAAAAGTGACGTCACTTATGTCACGAATTGAACTGCTTTATTATGGAGCGGTCACACCTCGGCTGCAGGAGCAGTTGCCCATGGCAACAGTGTAAGAGTAAGAGAGATAGAAGATTTTCCATCTGTCTCACTCTTACACGGTTGCCATTGGCAACTGCTCCTGCAGGCGAGGTGTGACCGCTCCATGAAGGCCTAAGCAGAATAGCTTTGCGAAAGACGTTCGCGAACGTGAAACATGAGTTAGAAAAAGACAGAGGTATATTCGTATCCTTTTCTATCTCATGCATCTCGTTCGCGAACGACTTTCGCGAACCTATTGTGCGTTGGCCTTGAGGCTCTGTCACTTGTGACGTCAGAGTCGATTCAAGGCGTGACATCAGAGGCCTGGAGGGACAACAAACAGACGACACAATTTTATTCTTATGGGGAAGAAAATTTGTTTCCACTTTCATCAATTTTATTCATATTTTAAACATGGAAAACGCTTGTTGACATATAATAAAATGAAAATGTGTGTTGATATTTAATTTTGTTATAGATTTGATTCAATTTCATTGATAGATTCTCTCAATTCGTGATGAAATATAAATTTTGAGGTTAGGGGTGTTTGTTTACTAACTTGAAATCTTTTACTGTTGCGGTAATTCCCACTTAAAGGCCAACGCACAATAGGTTCGCGAACGTGAAATTCGTTCGCGAACGCCGTTCCCGAACGAATCGAACATAACCTCAATTAATGGAAAAATGCATTAAATAAGGTTATGTTCGATTCGTTCGCGAACGAATTTCACGTTCGCGAAGCAGTTGTGCTTAAGCCTTTAAATATATATTTTATATCTTTTTAAATAACATACATACTGGATATTGCTTAATAATGTTGTTAAAATGTAAAATGTGATTAGTAAACAAACACCCCTAACCTCAAAATTTATATTTTATCACGAATTGAGAGAATCTATCAATGAAATTGAATCAAATATATAACAAAATTAATTATCAACAAACATTTTCATTTTATTATATGTCAACAAGCGTTTCTTATGTTTAAAATATGAATAAAATTGATGAAAGTGGAAACAAATTTTCTTTCCCATAAGAATAACATTGTGTCGTCTGTTTGTTGTCCCTACAGGACTCTGACGTCATATCTTGAACTCAAAATATCTCGATGAACTGACACAGCCTAATTAGATAGTTCATGTTGTGTGGAGGAAAATCCAATATGGCGATTATCTGGTATACAACTTTACATTGGAATTATGTGGGATAAAATCTAATTTTTTAAATATCTCGCTCAAATGAAATTGTCGAATCTAATAAGTATATTACGATCTTATTTTTAAACAACTATTTAATGCATTAATAAAAATGATTTTATTTTCTTATTAATTTTTTCATTGCATTAAATATTTATTTAGAAATAAAATTCTAATATACTTATTAGATTCGAAAATTTAATTTGAGCGAGATATTTAAAAAATTAGATTTTATCCCACATAATTCCAATGTAAAGTTGTATACCAGATAATCGCCATATTGGATTTTCCCCCACCTAACTTCAACTACCTAATGACCGTCGCACCAAACGCAACTGCGCATGTGCTACTACACCTACATTTTAAATATTAATTGTTAATAATTATATATTTTGTCAGAAATTATTGCTCCAACAAATAAAAAATTATATTCTCATTGATAAAATATTTATTTTCAATCTTTTAAGAACACTTGTTTGTCATCAGAAAACTCCTGATAGATTAACTCTTAAATTGAAAAAAATAAAAAATTTTTTCAAAAAATTCGAACGTTAGTTCAGCCTATAGTTTAAGGCTAGGTTCTAGAAAGGCAGCACCATCTATAACGAAACAAAAATTTTGGAAAATTTGTGTAAGGCTTGTGAGAAAGTTGCGCTTATGCCCCCTGCCTTCAACTTGTGACGTAGCGTGACGTCCCTTTTCAAAATGGTGGTTTGTCGGAAGACACGCAATGCATTTTTTGCCTGTGCAAGCAGCTGGAGGTGTGATTGCGCTCTTAGTTTTGATATAGATGGCGCTACCTTACAGAGACCTGGCCTTAAAATATTTTCAAAAACTACCAAACAGTTATTAGCATTTTTTTTATTTATTTTCTTAGTGCGAATATTTTTGAAAAAAATTTCAAATTAAGGAGATATTTTATAAAAGTAATTATTTTTTTTTAAATCAATAATTATTTATTTTCTTTTTTCTAATTAATATAAAAAGTGTAATTTGTGATCACTATTTCTTTAGATTCTATTTCAACGATAAATGACATTTTTATCTGAATTTACTAAAGATTTAGTTACGAAATATTAGCAAATAAAAGATTCGTGTTAAAATTTTTTAATATACAAAGTTTAAAATTAACAACACTTTTATAAGAGTTTATATTACTAATTTAAAAATATGATACTCTATTTAATAAAATGAACAATATTTAAACTACTATTTAAGAAATGAGATATTGAATATATTATAACAAATTTTATTATTCTTATTTAATGTACAAAAAATTTTCAGGTTTTCTAAAACGTAAAACATTGAGGAAAATATATAGATATAAATAAAATTTTTTGTCGGTTTAGTAAGCGTTTTTTGATTTGATAAAGTACATATATATTTCATCATTTTACAGTAGAGTAATACATAAGATGGCGTTTTTCTTAATTTTACACAAAAAATTTTATATCCACTCGTATATAAATTATTAGCATAGAAATCTGTTTAAACAATAATATTGTTTGAAGTCACTTCACTGAAAAAAAATTCTAGTTAGAATAACCAGAATTCTGGTTAGGGTATATTTAACATTTTGATTCTGGTTAGGCTAACCAGAATTCTGGTTATTTTAACGAGAATTCTAGTTAATTCAACTAGAATTCTGGTTAACATAACTAGAAAGTAATGTTAAATATAGCCTAACCGAAATTTTTTTTCAGTGTTTGAATAGAATAAAAATAGGGAAAAATAAACCAATAAATATAATAATAACAAAGTTATTTTCTCACGATTTAAATATAATAATAATAAAATGAAAGAAAAAGAAGGAGATAATGAAACACTAAAATCTCTTTCATATAATATAAATAAAGATGGGAAAGAATTAACATAGAAGAAATAAATAAAAATACAGAAAAGTCAAAAATTGAAAAGGAACAAAAAAATTGATGTTTTGTAGATATTTTTGATGAAACTCCAAAAGCAATAATAAAGAAGAAGAAGACCCTATTGAAAATCCCCACATGGGAAACCACATGGGAAACCACATGGGATCCTATGTCAAAAACTATGTAAAACCCCATTCCCCATATGGGAAACCACATGGGATCCCATATAAAAACTCATGGGAAATTGGGACAGGAATTGGCATAGGAAAATATCAAAACGAGGTTCCTCCATGTCATTTCCTATGTCAAATCCCATGTCAAATATCATGTTAAATACCATGTTAAATACTAATTGAGATCCTTTATCACTTTTTTAAAAAATTTTCCCATGTCAAACCCCATGTCATTTCCCAAGTAAAAACCTTTATCATTTTTTTGAAAAATTTTCCAATGTCATTTCCCATGTGAAATCTTTTATCATTTTTTTGAAAAATTTTCCCATGTCAAATCCTCTTTCGCCTTATCGAAAATACCCACATAGGAAAGCATATGGGAATCCACATGGGAATCCATATGGGAAATGGAATACGATTTCATGTGCATTCTTCCAAATGATAAAACAAATAGATTTAAGCATAGGAAATCATATAAGATTTCATATAGATTCTGAAATTTCAACCTAAGATTTCACATGGATTTACATATAGGAAACGATATAGGATTTTATTCGGGAATTTTTTAGTTGGCTGCTTTATGCAGGCGGCAGATTACAAAAAAAATTAATTATTTGATTAAATATCAAATAATAATACTTCAACTCATCTGAAAATAAAAAAAAGTTTACTTTACTTCTTCCTTAGACTCTCAGCTTTTATAGTATTCCAGACTGATCTCAACTGTGAGAGAAAATATTTTCACCATCTGGTGGTGAAACAATGAAACTATAATGACGATCAACATCTATATTGAAATTTCCTATGTCATTTCCCATGTGAAATCTTATCATTTTTTCGAAAAATTTTCCCATGTCATTTCCCATGTGAATTCCTTTATCATTTTTTTCAAAAAATTTTCCCATGTCATTTCCCATGTGAAATCTTTTATTATTTTTTGGAAAAATTTTCCCATATCAATTCCCACGTCAAACCTCATGTCATTTGCCATGTGAAATCCTTTATCGTATTCCATTTCCTCTGTGGATTCCCATATGCTTTCCCATGTGGGTATTTTCGATAGGGCGAAAGAGGATTTGTCATTGGAAAATTTGTCAAAAAAATGATGAAGGATTTCACATGGGAAATGACATGGGAAAATTTTTTGAAAAAAATGATAAAGGAATTCACATGGGAAATGACATGGGAAAATTTTTCGAAAAAATGATAAGATTTCACATGGGAAATGACATAGGAAATTTCAATATAGATGTTGATCGTCATTATAGTTTCATTGTTTCACCACCAGATGGTGAAAATATTTTCTCTCACAGTTGAGATCAGTCTGGAATACTATAAAAGCTGAGAGTCTAAGGAAGAAGTAAAGTAAACTTTTTTTTATTTTCAGATGAGTTGAAGTATTATTATTTGATATTTAATCAAATAATTAATTTTTTTTGTAAACTGCCGCCTGCATAAAGCAGCCAACTAAAAAATTCCCGAATAAAATCCTATATCGTTTCCTATATGTAAATCCATGTGAAATCTTAGGTTGAAATTTCAGAATCTATATGAAATCTTATATGATTTCCTATGCTTAAATTTATTTGTTTTATCATTTGGAAGAATGCACATGAAATCGTATTCCATTTCCCATGTGGATTCCAATATGGTGTCCCATGTGGATTCCCATATGCTTTCCTATGTGGGTATTTTCGATAAGGCGAAAGAGGATTTGACATGGGAAAATTTTTCAAAAAAATGATAAAAGATTTCACATGGGAAATGATATGGGAAAATTTTTCAAAAAAATGATAAAGGTTTTTACTTGGGAAATGACATGGGGTTTGACATGGGAAAATTTTTCAAAAAAGTGATAAAGGATCTCAATTAGTATTTAACATGGTATTTAACATGATATTTGACATGGGATTTGACATAGGAAATGACATGGAGGAACCTCGTTTTGATATTTTCCTATGCCAATTCCTGTCCCAATTTCCCATGAGTTTTTATATGGGATCCCATGTGGTTTCCCATATGGGGAATGGGGTTTTACATAGTTTTTGACATAGGATCCCATGTGATTTCCCATGTGGTTTCCCATGTGGGGATTTTCAATAGGGGAATATGATTTGAATAAAAAGAGGAGAAATTTTATTTAAAATGAAAAATTAAAAAATTATTTCATATATATGTTTAGAATATTGAATATTTTTTGTTATAAAAATATTAAATAATTTTTTACCGCTTGTGGTTGTCTTTCATCTGAAGTCTCCTGCATTGTGTCATCTTCATCTGATGATAATACATGAATCTGTTTATTAGAATAAAAAGATAACAAATTTTTATTAAAATTAGAAAACTGATTTCTTAAAAAAATATTTCCATTTCTTTTTAATGGAATTAGTTTATAATTATAATGAACAAAAAAAATTAAGTTTGCAAAAAGTACTTATGATTTTTCGTATTTTCTTTAAATTAAAATGGTTTAGACTCAAAAATACTCAATTACACAGTGTTACAAAAAAATATTACTTCAAAAACTTCTTATCTGATCTAGTAGAGCTTGTAGAGCATAAAAAACTGAAAAGAATGGTATACAGTAAGAAAAGTACCATGGTAGTCATAGGAATGCATGCGTTACGCATAAGTTTGTCTCACTCGCACTCATGGGCTGTGATTACCATGGTACTTTTCTTACTGTATATTTAATTGCTTATACACCCTCAAAATTTGATTTTAGAGACGGAATACCATTTTTTGTGAAAAAATCCTTGTAACTTCCTTATTTTTTGCCTGCTTTCAAATTTTTTTATTTGTTGTATCTTCTTAATTAATGACGACAAAGACCAAATACTTTTGATCAATTTGTAACTGTTATCTGATGAGATATACCGTCTTAATTTTACACATCGAAAATGTATAGTCAATTCTGCTTCAAATGACCCCTAATCGGTTGGAATTCGTTAAAATTTGTCTTAGTTAGCAGACTTTTAATTTTATAGTCACATTAGGTTTCATGTGTGTGTAATTTATAGTTTATTTTAATTTTCATAAAATTTAAAGGTAAATGCTCTGTATTCTTTAATTTTAGTATACACTAAACATATATTAAATTTTATGAAAATTAAAAAAAACTATAAATCACACATGAAACCTAATGTTACTACATATAAAATTAAAAGTCTGCTAACTTAGACAAATTCTAACGAATTCCAACCGATTAGGGGTCATTTGAAGCAGAATTAACTATCAATCGAAATAAAAAATAAATAAATAAAAAATCGGAATTTTTAAAAGTTTTTGGTCTTTATCGTCATCAATTAAGAAGATACAACAAAAATCCTTTATACAGTTGCAAAAATCTGTTTTTCAGCTTAAAAATTACAAAAAAAATTTGAAATCGGGCAAAAAATAATGAAGTTAAAATGATTTTTTCACAAAAAATGGTCTTCCGTCTCTAAAATCAAATTTTGAGGGTGTATAAGCAATTAAATATACACCATTCTTTTCAGTTTTTTATGCTCTACAAACTCTACTAGATCCGATAAGAAGTTTTTGAAGTCTTTTTTTTGGTACCACATTGTTATAATTATGTCACACTCCACCCTTTTTCTAAATATGTGGATTAAATGCACAAGTAAATTATTATTTCATGTACGTTAAAAATATTGAATATTTTTTACCACTTCATTTCGCATATCATCTTCAGTATTTATTGCCGAGTTTTCTTCTTGACGAATCTTGATCTGTTTATTTCAATATAAAAAAGAACAAATTTTTTAATTTAGAAAAAAAATTATTAAAATACATGTCAAAAAAAATTTATTCATTTTATTAACAAGATCATTCACATATTACGTGATACAAATTTTAGGTAATTTAAACCCCCCCCCCCCTCCCCCTACGTGATACTTTTTAGATAGTTTGCACATTAAGTTACAATGGAGAGTTAGTGGCCATTAATTAATTACGTAAGGATCCTTAGGGGGAGGGGGGGTTTATAAAATCTCTACATGGTCTTACGTCGGGGGAGGGTAGAAGCCATTCTTACGTAAGATTTTGCCAAGTATTTTTTATTTGTATTGTTGTAATTAATTTTTTAATTACATTAAAATTGTTAAAAACTTACGTAAGAAGGGCGAGGAAGGGTCCGAAAAATCTTATGTATTTTTACATGGGGGTAGGGGGTGTCAAAATTAGACAAAATCGTCCTTACGTAATTAATGAATGGTTCCTTATACTTTGTCTAAACCCCCTTCACCCCTAAAGAAATCACGTCATATGTAAATGGACTCAACCCCTTGGCTGTCGACAAGATTTCCACAGTTAGAGCCCCAAAGTGTGTTGAAAAAAATTTTAATGGATTTTTATGAAACTTGGTATCTTAATGTTTTCAGGGTCGCTAATTACGAATATGATGTCAGTTTTTCAAAATTTTCAAAATTCAAAATGACCCTAAAAATCCTTGAGTAACAAGTTTTAAGTGAATTCGATCAAATTTTAATTTTGACGTTCGCTATATTGCGAATCCACAATTTTAAATTTCGAAAAACTGATGTCAGATTCGTAATCAGCGACATCGAAAACCGAGTAAGAAATGTCAGACAATTGAATTTTGTGTCTCTTTTTGGGAAATAAGTAAAGTTGAAAAATCGATAAGAATATTAATATGAAAATTTATTTACTTTATACTCACAATTGAAGTATAATTAGTAATTAAATTCCAATATTTGAATGGAAAAGAAAAAAAGGCATCAAGAATCTGCAAATAATAAATTTAATAAAATTAACAAAATAACCAAAATTTTTCGCACAGAATAATTATGAAAATAGAAAAAATTGAAAATTCATTTACTATTCCCGCAATATTTGGAGACGCATAACAATGAAAAAAAAGATGTTTAAAAATTATGTTTAATTGCATTCGTGAAACGTGATTCTGTTTTAAGACTCGTTTTAAATGTGTCATCAGTAATGCAAGAGTTCTTCGATTTACAAGCGGAAGTTTGTTAATCAGTTCTTTCAATTTTTCGAAATCAACTGTTGATTCTACAGCTTGTGAAAATTCATTAATCAGTTCAGGAACAATCAAAGGTGACTTTAAAAATCTAAAATAAATTTAATAAGATTATTATGATAATAAAAATAAGTACGAAAAACATGAGGTAATCTTGATTGATTTCTTTTACCTCAAAAAGAATTTGAGAGTTTCGGCAATTATCAGAGGATTTTGTTGCGATAGATCGACGTGATTGTTAGTTAATTCTGTGAATAATTTTTTACCATTCTCTTCGTAGCTAATTTCAAAATATAATAATGGTTCATTCATTCCTCTGTTTTCCACTTCCTGTATGCATCTTTTAACTATTAAAGGTATGCTAAATGAAGAGTCAAGTGCATAATTTGAAATGAAGCGCTAAATAAAATAAACTTTATTAATATTTTTTAAATTTACTATTTTTTTGTATGAATAATTAAATTACTGAAAATTTTTTTTTCTACAAATTACAGTCAATCAATGAATATTAAAAATTTTGCTAATTAAATAATTAAAAAATATACCAATTATCAAAAAGATATTTTTTGTTAAAAATATTTAATAATTTTTTACCATTTCTGGTTGCATTTCATCTGAATTTTGCTGCATTGACACATCTTCTGACGATAATACATTATTCTGTTAATTAGAATAAAAAGACATTTTAAAAAGAGAGTACTAAAATAATACCGATTTAAGGTATAAAAATAGAACCAAATGACAATTTAGAACCTAAAGTTGATATTAAATTAACATCTTTCGTTTTACATTGGAGGAAAATTTTTCATTAAAATGAGAAAACTGATTTCTTAAAAAATTATTTTATTTTCTTCTCTTTTTAATGGGATTAGTTTATAATTGTGCTGCCGGATTAAAGAAAAGCACATAACCCATTTGAATTACATTAGTTGTGTGCACTTCTTTCATCCGGCAGCTCAATTATGAACAAAAAAAGTTGTTGCCAAAAAAGTCAAGTTTGCAAAAATGTCTTCTGATTTTCAATGATTTCTTTAAATAAAATATTTTAGACTCAAAAATACTTAATTATAATTAGTCACATTTCACCCTTTTTCTAAATATGTGGATTAAATGCACAAATAAATTATTATTTCTTGTACGTTGAAAATATTGAATATTTTTTACCACTTCATTTCGCATATCATCTTCAGCATTTATTGCCGAGTTTTCTCCTTGACGAATCGTGATCTGTTTATTTCAATAATAAGGTCAAATTATTTAATTTAGAACAAAAATTATTAAAATACATGTCAAAAAAAATTTATTCATTTTATTAAATTTCTACTTAATTTATTAATTAAATTTTTGTTTCTCTTTGAGAAATCAAGCAAAATTGAAAAATTGACAAGAAAATATTTTTAAAATTATATTTATTTATACTCACAAATGAAGCATATTTAGTAATGGAATTCCAATATTCGAATGGAAGAGAAAAAAAAGCATCAAAAATCTGTAAATAATAAATTTAATAATTAACAAAATACCAACATTTTTCGTATACAATATTTATAGAAATAAAATAAATTGAAAATTCATCTACTTTTCTCTGATTATCTGCAGGGGTATGTTGAGAAAAAATAGCGCTTCTATAATATAAGTTTATTTCCGATTGTAAAGCGCTATTTTTATTTTTTAAAACTAGTCGTTTTAAATGTATCATCAGCAATGCAAGAGTTTTTCGGTTTACAAGCGGAAGTTCGTTAATCAGTTCTTTTAATTTTTTGAAATGAACTGTTGATTCTACAGCTTGTGACAATTCTTTAGACACATAATAAACAATCAAAGTTGACTGTAAATCCCTAAAACAAATTTAAAAAAAAATTATGATGATAATAAAAAAATAGAAAAAACTGTGATAATTATATTGATTGTTTTTTTTACTTAAAAAAATGTTTGATAATTTTTGGAAATGTCAGAGGTGAATATTGCGATAAATCGACATTATTAGAAAGTTTTAATTCTCTGAATAAATTTTTTTCATTCTCATTCATAAGTATACCATGATATAAGTTTATATTATTCATTCCTCTGTTTTCCACTTCCTGTATGCATCTTATAATTATTAAAGGTATGTTAGATGAAGAGTCAAGTCGATACTGGTCAATGCGGAGCTAAATAAAATAAACTTTATATTATATTGGCACCTTAAGCTGAATTTACGACTTCATGAATTAAATAAGCATTTAAAAGATTAAAGAATCTGTCACTTATGATATTATATCGATTCAAAATTTAATGCAGAATTCAGAAAAATGATCACTTTTGATTAAAAATATGGTAAAATATTCTAATTAACAGAAACTTCTTTAGTATTCGTTCTGTTACAGTTAATGAAACTCGAAACATTGCCAAACCAGTTATTGGCACCCCACTTATATTAATACCTTTAAATTTTCTAAGTTAATAATGTTCAATAAATTTTACCTTTCTGCTTTTTCTCTGAACAGGAGGATGGCAGTTAACTGCGACAAAAGTGCAGAAAACGAAAAGCACCAAAAATTTAAAAAATCCCATTTTTATTTAAAAGATGAAGTCTTTAAAATCACAATAATATTTCAACTGATCGTAATTTTCAAATTGAAAAAAAATATTTTTTACTTGGAATTGTTTTTAATATAAAATTTTGAAGCAGTAAAATTGTTTACAATATTTACAAAAAAAATTTTATACTTTTAACGTGGTAGAGATTTCATACTATATTTATTATTTGTACAACAATAATATTACTATTCGTACATATTATAGATAATATTATCTACATATTATTATTTTTTCATCTATGTTTATTGTGACTTAAAAAAATAAACTTTTATTTTTTTTTTGGTTTTTTTTTTGGTTTATTATTTCGTCTGGTTTATTATTTATTATTATTTGAACTCAAACAAAGTTTTTGCTAGTATATTTCTTGAAAATAATCAATTATCCTGAAAGACAAAGCATTTTATTTTCTTTTTTTCAAGTAAACACTGTAAAAAATTTTGGCAATTTTAGTTTCAATATAGGTAATGCTGCCTTGCTAGAACCTACCCTCAAATTCTGTTATTCCAATGAAAAAGAGCGCCATACATTTTGTCTTGGCAACTCTCGAGTTAAGACTTTGGCGATATTTATGTAATCAAATTCTTTTTAGACCTATATAAAGAAGTTGTCAAAGCGCAAGCGCAATTGCGTTATTAGCAACTGTGTGTTCCGTTATTAATTAGAATATAGCAGATATCCGATCATTTAGAAGAATTAAAAATTCTTGTTTTACGCAAAGTTTATAGAAATTTAATTAATATATAATTGCTGCTCATAAATTTGTATTATACATTATGAAATGTAAATCATTTGAAAATATTTTTTTCTTTTTCAGAACAATTAGACAATTTCCTGAACAATATCTGATAAAATGGCATTCGTAGTAAAATCATCAAGCACTATCTCAAATAATGTCATGAGGAGCTTCAAGCAAGCAGTGAAGCAAAATAATCTGCTTCGCATCAATGAGATAGCATCGAGTGGAACGGTTCAGCAAGCTGATAAATATGGTGATTCATTCCTACATATAATCGCTAAGGAGGGATCACCTGAAGCTGCGCTCATATTGTGTCAGCTTAGAGCAGATATTTACCTTTGGAACAAGCAGAAGCAATCTCCATTATTCTACGCTCTCCAAAATTCTGTGGACATGGTGAAGGTACTGTTAAATCATAGTAGAATTAATGATTGGAATTTACTTCGACAAGCATTAATATTCGGTTCTGAGGAAGTTGTTCGTCTCATCGTAAACAGACTTCCTTTAAATTTTAACAATCTTTTTTCGACGGCTGCGATTTTAAATAATAATTTTAAGTATGGCGAAGTTTGTGAATTTAAAAATACCGAGGAAGTTGTAAAAGCTCTTTTACAACTTCAAAAATATTCTAAACCCGAATTTCTTGATTATCCATTATTAATTTTGTTTGCAGCTAAAATTTTAAATAAAAATATTTTACAAATAATTTTAGAGGATTGTGAAAAATATTTAGAAGAAAATTCTTGTTATGTTAGACCGTTATTTAATAGGCAAGGAAGTAATGAGACAATAGAGAGATTTTTTCCGATTGAAATTAGTTATCGAGGACGATATAGTGAAACTGCATTGCATTATGCAGTATGTTTACAATATGAGGAAGCGGCTAAATTCCTCTTAAATGAAGGAGCCGATCCAAATTGTAAAACACGCGACGAATTGACACCACTTCATTATGCCTCATATTTTGGAAATGAGGAAATATGTAGACTTTTATTAGCTTTTGGAGCGGAAAGCAATCCAAATTCCTGCTATTCAAATGATCCAATGCATTTTCTTTGTAGCCAACGTTGTATATTAAACTTTGAATCCCATTTTATTACAAATTCTCATCGTCCAAGCAATCCCTTACACTTAGTGTGTGGGGACAGCGATGCTAGGCATGTTTTAAACTCGTCCCTTAAATATTTCATCAGCGAGATGCATGAGTTGTGTTACGTACCGGATACAATTTTTCATACAAACATTTTGTCTTTATTACTCGAGAATGGTGCAAATCCATTTATTCAAGGAAAATTTAATTATAATCCATTTTTCAGCGTCTGTGAAAATGGACGTTTGAGGGAGATGGCAATTTTCCTTGAATATTTACCGATTTGCGAAATTCCGGAATATAGGGGTAACACTGCTCTGCATATTGCGGTCATGAACAATGACCTTGATATGATTGACTTACTAGTTAAAAAGGGGCATAGCATGGAAACAAAAAATTCCTTGGGACACACTCCCTTAATGTCTGCTGTGTGGATGGAAAAACAGCCATCCTTACAAACAATCGAAAAATTGGTCTACCATGGAGCCGACCTCCATGCTATTAGTTTTGAAGGCTGGACGGTTTTGCAAATGTCGGCCTGTTTTAATAAACCGGAGGTAGTTCTAAAATTATTAGAATTAGGTTCCGATGATTTGTGGAAACTGCCTAAATCTTCGGAATTACAGCGAGTGTCCAATACTTGGTCGACAGTTGGTCGGGGATTGCAAGTTCTTATAGCGATTATTGCTCTTAAATATAATGAGTTAGGTGACTATGTTAATAATTATATAAAACCTAGTGACCATGACAAAGCATTAAATTTTTTTGCTGAATCGAAATTAGAAGTTGTAACTCTGAAAAAAACGATGATTTTTAAAGATAGGCATTTTTCGTATTACGATTTCTTGACAGGGAATTTTTCAACTGTTATACGGATTATTAGAAATGTGAAATCAACAAATGAGTTAATTTCCATTTCAAATATGAGTGCAAAGTTTCCCTGCTATGCCTATTTAATTAGAAGACGATTTTTACAAATTGAAAATTTGGGAGATTCTGTCGATCATATCACTGATTTTTTGACAAATTTAAGTGAAACAAAACCTTTACCTGTTCTTGTTGTTAATGAAATTTTTGGTTATCTTTCTTATAGTAATATTCAGGTTTTTGGAGATGCTTTGTCTAAAATATGATAATGAAATGGTGTCTTTTCAATTTAACATTTTAACATATGTCTTTCATTGTATATATTTTGTATTGTACTTACTTTTAATGGTATGTTTTTTATTGTATATTTATAAAAATATGAATAGTGTATTTATAGGTATAAATATGATATGTAATTAGTTTGTGTGTATATAAAAATTTGATATGTATATCTGTTTGAATTCAAAAATTATTGTAACAAGGAACATTAAAAATTGAATCGATTTTTATTTATTAATTTTTCATTAATTAATCGAATTTAACAACTTAATATATATATATATATACAAACTCCAGAAATAGTTCTTTATTAGTTTCCTTCTTGTAGCGTAAACGTTTTGTCTCTCTGAAATCTTAATAAAAAAATAGTAAAATAAATTTAGTGTTTTTTGTTTTATTTAAAATTTTTAAATTAGCTGAAATTTTGATGTTGTACTTTTTCAATCCTCTGCATTTAGAAAGAACACGATCAACTTTTTCATTGGGAATGGTTCGCAGTCATCGAAAGGTAAGTTATTTTTCTTTTTTTTATTAGAACTTATCAAATATAAAATTTTTTAATTATTATTCTTAAAATTACTTACTAAATTTGTTTTTAAAATGTTTTTATAAAGATTTTTGATTTCTCACGATGATCATCTTAATATTTATAAAGTGCATTAACAACTGAAATTTTTGTTTAGTATGATTTATTTTTGTTATATATGATTTTATTTGTATAACGTAAACTGAGACTTATTTGCCTTTAAATATTTTTATATATTATATGATTATTTTTTGCCCCATCTTGCACGTTCACAACAACGATTTTTCAATCCATAATTTTTCTCCATACAACCAGAACCAGGAAAAGGTAATTCTTTACCACAGCTCAATGCTGTACATATACCTTGACCACCATGGCATGGGGTATCTAAAAAAAATGTGTCTTTGATTTTAATACGCATATAACTAAAATAGTATTGTTTGTTTAAAAAAAAATTTGTTATTAATATTTTCAAAATTTTAAGTTGACAAAATTCTAATTCTTTCCGTTTTCTTTAATAACAATATATCAATTTTGTAAAATAATAAATTAATGTTTTCTTACTCATTCTCCATCCCAAAACATCTGTAGTAAATATGCATATTAGAAATAAAAAAATTACAATTTTCGTTACTACGGACAACATTACAATAAACAGTAAAGAGAATTTTTTTAATACTTAAAAATTGAAACAAATTTACGTTTTTTTTTCCTTTTATTTATAGTACCATGTGATTCTCGTATTTATACAAAGTACAAACACATACAAACGGTAAATTTATTTTTTTTCCTAATTGCTATTTTTTGTAATCCACTATCATTTTCAGCGATATTTGTTACTTAAGGTAATTAGATCTTTAAAAGCTTCACAGTAAATGGATTTTTATTTAAAATTCACTTATTGATAAGGAATAATTGTGCATATATGGAAAGCTAAACGTAAAATGTTTCTATTTTTCAAATCGTTGAAGAATCTCTCATTAAATTCATAATGAGCAATTCTAAAATAAACCCAGAGTAGCAAGTTTCAAATGAATCCAATTAAAAAAAATTGTCCACCATATTTGATCCTCCATTTTGAATTTTCAAAATCTGACTCGATTTGTAAATATAGTAACTCCAAAAACCCTGGTGTAATAAACAAATTAAAAATTTTTTTTAAATTCTACACGTAGGAAACAGAAACGTAATTAAAATAAATTTAAATTAAATTAATTGTAAATTAATGTAATGTGATAATTTTTTTGGAATTTAATATTTCAATTTAGGAAAGTTAAATTACGATTATTACAAAAAGCTGTTGAATTTCTTGGGTATATAACGATTATGGGTTATTACATTTTTTTTTGACTGCGTTTAATAAAAAATTTCATCATTCAGAGTGAATGGTCCAAGTCAAAGGGAATCTCTAGAATAATAAAAGGATTTCTTTTTTCGGGGGGGTGAGAGAGAGAGAGAGAGTCTACTGTGAATCGCATTACAAGTGTCAAGGGTGCTACGGAAGGGAACAGAATTAATTGGTTCAAAGCTTCAAGAACCCAAGTTAACTCAAGAGCTCAACTTTTATAAAGAGGGTGACATTACTTCCCCTTTGCATGGCTCTTGAATCATTTGGAATAACCAAGAGAATTTTATCCTAGAATCCGGTCAACTTCCTTTATCTTCTCCCGCATCTTTATTTATTTTTTTTTTTTTTGACCTCTTTTCTTTTATATGCTTACATTTTTTTCCGCGAGGAATTTTTCATTTTATTCACTGTCTTTACTTTTTTTCTTTTTTTAATTAAAAGACGAGACATTGTTTAAAGAAATATTATCAGAATTGAAGGCAATAAAATAATTGTCAAAAAAAAAAAAAATTATTTAAAATAGTATTGAGGAATGTTGGAGGAGGCTTCTGTAGATTTGAGAGTTAATTAAATTGTAAAATAACTTTTAGGAACGAAACTTCCATCATCAGCATAGTTAAAAAAGCTTCCCCTTGATGTTCCTCTGGTTTCTGTTATTTTTGCCAGGCTTAGAATAAAAGAAATTTATTTTTTTTCTTCTGAACAACCCTGGCGGATCTCGAAATCGGTATGTACGCTGAATTCGTTGTACATTCGTTACACATTGGTTAAACATTTAGTTGGAGTGAAAATTGTGTAGAAACTGAGTGGAAACTGTGGAAAAGTGTAATTGAATTGAATAATAAAAGTATTTAGTGATAGATTTGTGCTGTATTTGTGATAAATTAACGTGTTATTATTAAATAAATAAAGTTTAAAATGAAAAATGTTCGCGTGAGTTTGACAAGCTAGGGAATTTTCTAGTGATATCCAAATTGATAGTCGATAAAGAAGTTGAGCCGCCGACTTTGCATTGTAGGTGGCAGCATTCATACTTTCTCCTTTTTAAAAATTCTCTTTTTCAATTGTAAATAGAAAAATTAATTAATTAATAAATTATATAGTTTCTATGTTGTCATTTTTTTTAACAATTGAATATTTGAAGATCCGCCAGGGAATTATTTGATGATTCTTTAGCTGATGACAAAAACCCTTTTTGAAAATTTTCTGTTGGTTATCTTATCCCCTATGCTTTTTCTTCTATCCCCAAAACTCGTTTATCTTATTACCTTAGGAAGCAGCTCGAAAGGGCAACACAAATTCCATCCTACTTTTCGAGTCCTCCCTGTTAGCCGTGTCCCTGCGCTGTCAAATTTCGTCTGTATATCTACTATAAACCAGGACCCTAAACGCAAAGTCTTTCCCTATTGCAATCTCGATTTATCTCGCACCTATTTTTCCCACGTATTCAAGTCATAAACCCCAGGGCTTGGGATTTTTCTATACAGCAATGAAAAATTACTTTTTCACATTTAAAATATTGAAAAATATCGATGACATAAATTAATGCAAGAACCTTTCCGCTAATCTTTTACAAAAGCTTTTCCTAACTTTCTTATGGAAAATTATTTCAATAAGAATTGAATTTCCTCCTCAGGATAGAGTCACACATGGTGCATATTAGATTAGGAGAATAGATTTTAGCCAATTGGAATTAATTCTCTATAGCAGAGAATGTCACTTACCGCAAAAGACTGTTTTATGTTTGGTGAATGTAAGATCCACTAATCTGCTCCATGTACCCTTAATTGACCTTCAGAAATTAAAGTTCAGATAACTTCCAAACTGGTTTAGGTGATTCTACTTGTATTTGTAATACCCTAAAGATTTAATTTATTTAAAAATAATTCAGTAGAAATAAAAGCTCTATCAGAAAAAGCCTGATTAATGAGATAATATTTAAATCAATGAAAAATGGAAGAACTAAATAAAACTCAAATTATAATTTAAGTTTTATTAATAATTATTACTTTTTATTAATAATTATTAATTTTTATAAATAATTATTAATAATTTATTATTTATTTATATTTAATACTTTTTTATAAATATTAATAATTTATTTATTTATATTTATTTTAGATTATTAATATCTTATTGCCTTTGAATTTTAATTTAATAAGAAAAAACACTTTAAATGGAATTTTTTTGGACATAACACTTCTCCTGATATATCAAATACCTGCTGACATCGAATAACTTTCCTGGTCCCTTGAAATCCAATATACATAGATTTCACTGTACAGTGTTAAAAAAAATAACGAGATAATAAAAAATTTTGAAAAATTAAAATATAAAAAATTACCGACCTAGAAATCTACCTTACCGACTGATATTAAATTTTTTTTGAAAATGCTAATATAAAAAATTACCGACATAGAAATCTACCTTACCGACTCATGGTAAAGAAATTATGAAAACAGTCAATATTAAAAATTACTAACATAGATATCTATCTTGCCGAATGATGGTAAAACAGTCTTTTGAAAAACAAAAAAAAAAGTTACCGACATAGAAATCTACCTTAGCGCCTTATGGAAAACAGTTTTGAAAAGTTGGTAAAATTTCAAAAAAAAGTTACCATCAGTCGATATGGTAGATTTCTATGTCAGTAATTTTTATATTTTCATTTTTTAAAAAAAAATTTACCATTAGTCGGCAAGGTACATTTCTATGTTGGTAATTTTTATACTTTCATTTTTAAAAAAAAACTGTTTTACCATGAGTCGGTAAGGTATATTTCTATGTAGATAATTTTGTATATTTTTATTTTCCAATAAATTGTTTTACTTTTAGTCGGCAAGGTAGATTTCTATGTCGGTAATTTTTTATATTAGTATTTTCCAAAAAATTTCTTTACCATTAGTCGGTGAGGTAGATTTTTATATTGATAATTTTTATATTTTCATTTTAAAAAACTGTCTTACCATCAGTCGGCAAGGTAGATTTCTATGTCGGATATTTTTTATATTAGCATTTTTCAACGAATTTCTTTACAATCAGTCGGCAAGGCACATTTTTATGTCGGTAATGTTTTATATTTTCATTTTTCAAAAAAACAAACTGTTTTACCATCAGTCGGTAAGGTAGATTTCTATATCTGCAATTTTTTTTATATTTTCATTTTTTAAAAAACTGTTTTACTATCAGTGGGCAAGGTAGATTTCTATGTCGGTAATTTTTATATTCTCATTTTTAAAAAAACTGTTTTACTATCAGTCGGTAAGGTAGATTTCGGTGTCGATAATTATTGTATTTTTATTTTTCAAAAAAAAACTGTTTTACCATCAGTCGGTAAGTTTTTTTGGTACCTAGAAATCCGATATACGTGTGTTTCACTGTAGTTATTTTATTCGAAAGAGTTTACGATTATTTAATGCAAAGAATGACCGACGAGAATGAAAATTTGAAAAAGTCATACACATTCCATTAATGTAATTTTTCCCGTGGAATCGAATGGCGCCGTTAGTTTTGAAAATTGTACAAATTAAATCTTCCTAAAGATAAAATTAATTTTTTTTTATTTTTATAGTTTTATTTATTTGTTGAAAACAACTTGAGATTATGTTAAAGGACTAAGCACCATTAAGAATGGGGATTTAAAAGAAGTGAATAGGTTTTTATTTTCTGGGTATAGAATCTTTTATTATTGTTTCACTGAACTTTCTGAAAAGCTTTCATGAAAATATCACCTTGGAATAGTGCGACTATTCGAAGCCCCATAATTACTATTTATTGATTTTAATTATTATTTTCATTATCGCAAGGAAGCTATATATCAATAAAACGTATACATATTTGTCAAAAAAAAAAAAAAAAAAAAAAAAAAAATTGTTTATTAAAATTCCTTTCTCTCTTTCTCTCTGGGCCAAGCCTTGAAGGGGATTAAAATTTCGTTCATCTCTTTCTCTCTCTCTCTCTCTCTCGATTTTCAATATATCGACATCTCATTCTAACACACTTGGTGGGTCAGCGCGCGGGGGATTCTTGTGTGTGTCCCTGTCTTTTTGATCATATATACCCTCGCCCGTGGCCGACAATGTATTGATCCGACAAACAGAAGCACAGCGACTACGCAACGAGGCCACCCGACGTGTTCGACGTAAGTTAACGTATACACCCACACACACAATAGGCAAAAGTACGTGTCTCGCCCACACGATGACGCGATTGTATTCGTATATGCATCACTTGTTTCACAGTGTTAATGTCAAAAGAGTGGCCCCCATCGGTGCGCCACTATACTTGTAAACACTGAAATTCAGTTTATTGGTAAGTGCAGCGCCGATAACGCCACGCAACACTTTTTTTCTGTTTTGAACTTGAGTTTTCTTATCGCGGTGTGTGTGTTTTTATATTTTTCTTGTAATTTTTGTTTTTTTTTTTATTTTTTTTTCTCTCTTTTTTTGTCAAAAAAAGAGGGAAAAGATTCTGTTAACGGAATTTATTCCGAGACACCGATATGGACCCATTTTCAATTAATACTACTAAACATGTAAGTTATTTATTCCAATTTATTTTTCAAATTTTCAAAACTAATTTAAAAAAAATAATACCTTTTTTATTGCGTGGAGTTGATATTTATTTAATTATACGGTAGATTAAAAAATTTTTCACAAAATTTTATTGGCTGTGAAAATTTTTTAGTTTTCTTTTTGAATGTTAAAAAAAAAGAAATGGTTCAAATTTGTTGTATTGTCTCAAATTTTTTTTGTTTTTTAAATTTTTCGATCGAATTATCCAACGATGAGAGAAATAATCGTTTTAATTTTCTAAAGGTCAAAATTTTTCAAATACTAGAGGATAATTGTTTTAATAATTATTATTATATTCATTTCATTTTTTCTGTTTTAATTTAATTGTTTTTGACCTTTTTGTATTTAAGTTTTTTCATTTACTACCCGTGACTAGTTGAATCGTCCTTTCATTGGGGCGTTTTATTATTATTATTATTATTATTATTATTATTATTATTATTATTATTATTATTATTATTACTATTATTATTATTATTACACGCATAGTAAAAATTTGCTGTAGCAGCAAATTACGTTAGCTAATATAGGGACAGCGAACAAATTTTCTGTGGGATCAAAAAAGTTTGCCGTGACAGCAAATTATTTGCTGTCACATCAAATTACGTTAGCTAATATAGGAACAGCGAACAAATTTGCTATGGGGTCAAAAAAAGTTTGGTATGACAGCGAATTATTTGCTGTCGTTTCAAATTGCGTTAGCTAATATAGGGACAGCTAAAAAAATTTGCTGTGGGGTCAAAAAAAGTTTGCTGTGACAGTAAATTTTTAAAAAATTAAAACTAATATTATTTATCATAGCAAACGTTTTCGTTGTCATATAGTAAAGAATTTAGCTGTGGGGTCAAAAAAAGTTTGCTGTGACAGTAAATTTTTAAAAAATTAAAACTAATATTATTTATCATAGCAAACGTTTTCGTTGTCATATAGTAAAGAATTTAGCTGTGGGGTCAAAAAAAGTTTGCTGTGACAGTAAATTTTTATAAAATTAAGACTAATATTATTTATCATAGCAAACGTTTTCGTTGTCATATAGTAAAGAATTTAGCTGTGGGGTTAAAAAAAGTTTGCTGTGACAGTAAATTTTTATAAAATTAAGACTAATATTATTTATTATAGCAAACTTTTTCGTTGTCATATATAGCAAAGAATTTAGCTGTGGTTATTACTAATTTTGATAGATCTGATAGCAAACATCAGTTAGAATTAGTAAGCAATTCCTTTTCTTTCATGTATCTTTGTGATATTATAATAATGTCAAATATAACACTATATAAATATGATCGTTTTCAAATTTTTCAAGGTCAAATTTTCGAGGTTACCTCGTAAAATACGAATTTCCTTCACATTGCCAATTTCGTTATATAACTTTATTACTTTCATTTTAGAAGTTAAAAAAGGTTAAAGTAAAAAAATTTTTTTAAATTTAAATTACAAATAACAATGTTAATAATAATAATAATAATAATAATAATAATAATAATAATTATTATTATTATTATTATGAACCGATTTAAATGAAACTTGAATTAAATCAAATGGCATAAAAAAATAGGCTATCGCACATATAAATATAGAAAATTTGAAGAAAAATTTTTGTTTTCTTTTATTTAAACAAATTTTTGTTATAAACAATTGATTGTTATTTTTTTAATGTTCTACGCCTTTTTAAAATTGGAAAAAAATGTTAACAACAATTACAAGAACTCTATAAGGAATCAAAATCAATAAAATCAATAAAAATAAATTAGAGGAAGTTAAAAATATATTTCTATTTTTTTTTACTGTCTTTTTGTTATAAGATGTAAGTAAAAATATTTTTCTGTTATTCTATTTGATTTTTTTTTTTTTTTTTTTAGGTAAGGGTAATTTTTTCTAGAAGGGGTGAAGAAATTAAATTTCTTTGGATAAGGGCGTTAAATTGTAGATACTATTACATTATTATTATTATTATTATTATTATTATTATTATTATTATTATTATTATTATTGTAGCAGTAGAATTGTAAATTTCATTTGGATTAGTATGAAATTTTTTTTTTTTTTTTTTTAACAGTAAAGCTCTATTCTTTTAGATGAGCTGGAGGATAAATTGTTCTATTATATCTGTAATTTCCTGTCTTTCTCTTATCAGAAAAAATAGGGTAGGAGAACTGTAAAATTTTTTTCTTTTGCCTGTTTTAATTAAATCAATTATTAAGTTTATGAGAAACCCTATTTTTTATAATTTATTCATTTATTATTTATTACTATTTATTTAGTATTTAAATATACTGTTTTTTTTTTAAAAAAGGAGAATTAGTATAAATTTGATAATAATGTTAAGGGTTGTGAGAGGTTGTAATTAATATATTTATTTTTGTATTATTATTATTATTATACATTTCATGTTGCAATTAATTTTACCATAATTTAAATAAAAAAGTTTTTCTCTTTAAAGAATCTAATGAATTTTTGTTTATGTAATGAAAAGATCATTTCGCGTCAAAGCCTTGTTATAAATATAATCAAATGAAAGCCAATATTTTAAATGCGGAAAATGCAAACTGTTTAGATAAGAAGTTAAGCACAACAGGAGAATAATGATGAGTTTTTTTTTACCTAGGCAAACGAGAGTCACCTGAATAAAACTATTTTTAAAGTGATAATAATAATAATAATAATATAACAATAATAATTTATTTATTTTAACAACATTTATATAATTTAATTTATAATAAAAATTAACAATTTCATTTTAATTTAACATTCTTTCATAATAATATGTTATAAAAACAATAATAATAATAATAATAATAATAACAATAATAATAAATATTCATAAATAATAATAATTATTATTATTAAAAATAGTAATAAATAATAATTGTTATTGTTATTTTTATGATAAGGATAAATTTCTAACTAACTGAAAGTTTATTAATATAAAGTTCTTCCGTTCGACTCGAGATAATTATTTTTCTAAAAATAAACTTTTATATATATATATATATATATATATATACTTATGAGACATTTTTTTAAAGAAATGCAGTTAACGAATATTGCAAAAAATTATTATATTACTATTAAAAAATATCAAAAGTGCTTGTATTAAAATTTAGAAACTTACCAAAAAAAAAGTGTTTTACTTTTTTTTCAATTTTAAATTTATAGGCATATATCAATCACAAAAAAAAAAAAAAAAAAAAAAAAAAACTATAAATAACCGGAAGTAAATCGAGACAGGCCGGTAAACTTTTATCGTTATATATAGTTGTGTGTTATAAATGACCTTCATATTGATATGTGTATAACACATATGTATATATATATATCGTAAAATTAGAAAAGTTGTAAAACATTAAACAAAAAAAATCACATAACATAACATATATTGTACAATAAAAAATAAACCCAGATAGCACGGAAACTTGCAGAAGGCTTACGGCAAACTTACCGTGCAAGCTTGTCTGAGCTAGCGAAATGTCCCACCCAGGGAAAGCTTGCCGTGAAAGCTTGCTGTAAACTTTCCACGAATGGTTGCTGCAATCTTGCCATGAAAGATTGGTACAAGATTGCTGCAAGTATATTAAGAATGATTGCGGCAAACTTGCCGTGAAAGATTGCTGTAAGCTTGCTACGTAAGGTTGCAGGAGAATTTCAACAAGCTTCTGGAAAGGTTGCTGCAAGGTTACTGCAAGCTTGCTGAAATTTTTAAAAAATACATTTAAAATTTAAAAAAAATTTATTTGCTTTCTAAATTTGAAAATCCTTGTGACGATTATTATTATTATTAATTATGTCCTATTTATTTTCATTTGGAAACTTAACGAGAAAATTTTCGAAACAAATTTGAGAGGACTGGAAATTGAACCCGAGTTTGACAGACACTAACCAAAGACCCTAACCGAGAACCTACTCGACCAACTATCAGAGAATAAAAAAATCTTGCTCTTAACCCTCGACTGTTTTTATGAGTTGAAAAACAGTTGAAAAACGAGAGTTAAGAGCAAGATTTTTTTTATTCTCTAATAGTTGGTCGAGTAGGTTCTCGGTTAGGGTCTTTGGTTAGTGTCTGTCAAACCCGGGTTCAATTTCCAGTCCTCTCAAATTTGTTTCGAAAATTTTCTCGTTAAGTTTCCAAATGAAAATAAATAGGACATAATTAATAATAATAATAATCGTCACAAGGATTTTCAAATTTAGAAAGCAAATAAATTTTTTTTTAATTTAAAATGTATTTTTTAAAAATTTCAGCAACCTTGCAGCAACCTTTCCAGAAGCTTGTTGAAATTCTCCTGCAACCTTACGTAGCAAGCTTACAGCAATCTTTCACGGCAAGTTTGCCGCAATCATTCTTAATATACTTGCAGCAATCTTGTAGCAATCTTTCTTGGCAAGATTGCAGCAACCATTCGTGGAAAGTTTACAGCAAGCTTTCACGGCAAGCTTGCCCTGGGTGGGACATTTCGCTAGCTCAGACAAGCTTGCAGCAAATTTGCGCGGCAAGGTTGACAAGCTTGCACGGTAAGTTTGCCGCAAGCTTGCTGCAAGTTTCCGTGCTATCTGGGAATATATGCAAATACCTAATTTATTTTTAATTATTATTATTATTATTATTATTATATTATTTATGTATTTTATTAAGAATTTGTAAAAAAGGAAAAAAATTGAAAAGTTTAAATATTATTGGGGCGCATATCACAGCATTCTGTGTAAACTGATTGGTGCATAAAAATATAATCATTGTATATGTGTGTATCTGTGTTTGCATTGATTTTTCATAATCGGGGTCATTTTTAATAATATATATATATATATATATATATATATATATATATTTGTTTCTCGCAAAAATGTTTCCTTTGCTCTTTTTGTGCCAAATATATATTGCAAAAAAATCGGGGAATAAAATTTTTATAAAAGATTTTTGTTAATTTCAATTCTTTTATAAATATAATTTTATAGAAAATTATAT